CTCTACTTGAGGCCCGGACTTCTGCCGGACCACCACTTGAAGATCAAACTTCTGCCAGACCACCACATAAGGTCCGAACTTCTGCCGGACCACCACTTGAGGATCAAACTTCTGCCGGACCACCATCTAAGGCCCTAACTTCTGTCGGGCCACCACCTAACGCCCCGAGTTCTATCACAATATTGCCTTACTACTAGGGTCCATCTGACCTCCATCGTCAGACAAAGATCTTTCTAACCCCTGTCTCATGCCGCTAATATTACAGGATGCAACAATATACATATATTTATATTACAAATATAATTATATGCATGATAAATAAGTCTTAAATATTAAAAAATAATAGTATATATAATTGCATAAATATAAATGTATTTTTTAATAATAATAATAATATAATATATAAATTTAATAATATTAAAAAAATTATGTTTCTAACTTTAATAAATTATATGCATTTTCAATTCAAATTTGTAACCCAAACAATTTGATAGTTTAAGGCTTTATACTCATGCAAAATTCTCCCAAATTTTTAGTCCCACATCATACAAGAATTTTAAGTTGTTCTCTACTTTCCTTTGTATAGTGTAAAGAACAAATAATAGACCAAAATTAAAGTTGCATGATGCGCCAAGCATACCACTTTATATTCTTAAATCTTATTCTTCAACTTCTCCAAACCGGCAACTAAATTGGAACTTCCGAACCGGCAACTAAATTGGCTCACGATTATACCGGTTGAACTGGTTGGTCCAATACTGCATCGAATCTGCCAGTAGGAATTTACACTGCTAATAGATAGATGCATAAATAAAAACAAAAATAGAAAGCTAAGTAAAGATCTGCATAGTAGGGCAGGAGGTGCTATCCAGTTGAGTGCTAGAGAGTATATTTCTACTTAAAAATTTAATATTTTCATTTCAAATTTATTCAAATTTAAGTAGACCAAAAACACATTGATTTTAAGCCGAGTTGGAACTAATTACAATCAAATCTGTTAGTTTTAAAAATATTGATTGATTTTCTATCAAAATAATTATAATTAGACTTCAATTTAACTTCAATATATGATATTTATAAACTTCTAGTTAAATCTATTAAATTTCAGGAGCATGTAATAGTACTGTTATGTTTTGATGATTACAAATATAATTTAATTTATAACTAGTTTTACTGGCCTATTTATATACAGTTTAGGATTTGGCGTTTAGGATTTAGGAAAGAAGATTAGGCTATAACTATAAGCCTAGATCATTAAAAATTTTGCAGGACAAGAAGAGTAAGCTAGGAAGAAATAATCAAGGCTGGAGTTACATGTGTTAAACATGTATTTTTATTTTTTAGTCATATTCAAATTTTAAATTTAGAGGATTTTAACATAACTAGAATCAAATATGAAATTAATTTAAATTGATCATAATAAATCATATTGTACGATATATATTAATTTGATAAATCATAATAAAATGAATCTGCATTTATTTGAGGCATTTTATTGAGTTAATTTTAAAAGAAAGTTCTATATCAAGTTATTCTAATGAAAATTGATCATTATATTGAGTGTTTTAATGTTTAAAATTTGGAGTTAATTATAAAATAAAGTTCTATATCAAGTTATTCTAATGAAAATTGATCATTATAAATTTCAAAACTGTTAAATTTATTCAAGATAAATTAAATATGTAAATAATTAATCAAATTTATATCATATTTACTTCAAAATAAATTCAAAAAATTATAATTTTTTTTTAAATTATCAGTCCTTAGTCCAAATGCAGCTTTGACAGAAGCCTGCATACGTAGATTCTAGGGGTGTCAATTCGGGTCAACGGGTCGGGTTCGGGTCGAACCCGGAACTGATCCGGCACTGTTCGGGTCAACCCGAACCCGACCCGTTTTTAAAAACGGGTCAGGTTTCTGGACCCGAACCCGACCCGATTCGGGTCCGGGTCAACCCGACCCGACACGAATGACCCGAAGTTGATCTGGTATCAGCCTTTAGTGGCTGCCTTTGGTGAGCAAACGAAGAGGGAGAGATGGTGTAGGCTGTGGCTGTAGGGGTTAGGAGGGAGATCCAGTATTTCGTTAGTTGTGTGTAGGAAGATGCATGTAGAGATGTAGGGAAAGGAGTTGGTAGCATGAGCGAACTTAGCGAAGTTTGTGAATGGGGTGTGCGAATTGACCTGGCAGACAGACATTTTTTCATGTTTCGGGTCAAATCGGGTTAAAGTCGGGTTAGCGGGTTGACCCGGACCTGACCCAATTTTTCAAATGAGTCAAGAACTGCAACCCGAACCCGGATTTTCCGGGTCGGGTTCGGGTCATGTTTCGTGTCGTGTCAAAAATTGACACCCCTAGTAGATTCGTAGCAAAAGAAGGGGCATTCTCGTCAAATGGGACGGACGGAGAGAACAGTCTTTGACGCACCTAATCACATGGGTCGGGCCCGGCTAATTAAACGAAAAAAAAAAACAAAAGAAAAGCGTATAACGTACACACCAAACGCATGGACGGTACCAACATAATTTATTTTCAAAGGATGATATTATTTTACCATTTTCTTTCAAAATTATTTAAATTTTGATAAATTAAATTCTAATATTTATAATAAAAATATGACTAAAGCACCAATTCACCAACATGATTAGAGGATCTGAATCTCTTTTTAAATAACATAGGCTTCCTTTAGTTTTTTCATACAAAAATTAAAATTTTTATATTTAAAAATTACATTATAAAATAGCTTTTTAATATAATTTTTTATATAAAAAATTTGCTAAACCACTAAAGTAGTAAAAAAGTCATCCCAAATAAAACTTTTTTTTTTTTTTACTTTAAAATTTTATGAGCAACAACATATTAAAATTAAGATATAGTTTTCATTTGAAATTACTTTTTTTTATTGCTTCTTAGAACAACTTTTTAGTAATAGAAATTTTCAGTAAAAAAGCCATATCAAACGAAACCTCAATCGCTCAGATATGTAGGAATACCCCAACTATTCCCTATCCCAACAATGCATAAAATGCTCCATGAATTCTAGTGTAATAAAATGCTCTACTTGGGATTTTTTTCTGTGCGGAGTCCGAACATCATCCAGAGACCAACAAAAATACGCCATGTCACTTCAAAAGTGTACCGCAGTACTGACGCTCGATACCAAGCGGGTACCGGACGGTTCTCCCACTGATGTCTGCACAAAATAATCTCTTCTACTTAGGAGGATCTCTCCATAGACTTCATCGTCAAACTTCCCCCCTCACATGGCAAAGAAACATTCTTGGTGGTGATTGATCACCTCACTAAATATGGTTACTTTGTAGTTATGCCACCTCACTGATGTCCACAATGGTGGCGCATGCATTCATCACTGAGATATGCAAGCATCACGGCATCTCCAATATCTACAGCTATTAATCCAATAGCCGGTAAATCTAGAGCTAGTTAAGGAAATGAAGTAGCTTAGATTGGTGACTAAGGCTTCGTTTGGGCGGCTTTCCCACTGCTTCTTAAAGCAGCTTTTTAATACAATTTTTAAAATTTTTTAATTAAAAAGCTGTTTTAAGAAGCAGTTAGAAAACCGTCCCAAACGAAGTCTAAATGAGTGCTACGATTACAAGCTCAATCTTCAATTCAATTGACCTATCTAAGCCAAATTATTACTTGGCCTGGCTTTGCTACAGCCTGGTTAACGCTAAAAAAAAATAAATTATCAAAATACAGCCATATCCAGGTGAATTAATTAGCAATTGCTAATGAAAATACGCATTTAAATATTTAAAAATCATCACATATATAGAGAAAATTTACATGGAAAACTGGCAATAAGAGGAGATCTTTGGGTAGAGCTACAAATTCTGGTAACTTACTGGTTACATCAAGAACTTAGCCAGTGAAGAATCTTTTCCATGATTGCCATGGCAGGAAGCCACCTGCAAGCAGAAAATGTCACCATGCAAAATTTATAGCAATTAAACAGTTTATCGTAGGACTGCGCCTTCGACAAATTGGCTGAATTCAACAGTTTTGGTTCTATCAATCGGAAAACCTAACAGTCCAAACTTTCATTCCAAAGCAAAGAAACCAAAAAGCTTTCATGTAGGTGGAACCGCATTTGCTATTCAATTATTTCAGTTTATCATAGAAGGAACTGAGAACAAATGCCTTGAACAGAGTAGACACTATCAAACTGCATAGATATGTTTGGTTCAGTGTCGATCTTTTATCCGGCTAATGCATAATATTTCAACCTTGTTGACCGATCAACCAAAATTAAGGCCTCATTTGTTTAGGCATTTTTTTATCTTTTCTGTTTATAAACGACAAAATTATTTTTTGGTCGTTGTTTGGATGAGATGCTTCTATAGAAATGTTTTTTAGGGAACTTCATTTTTCTGCTGCTTTGAGAAGCTTTTTGATATTTGATTCTCCGTTAGAAAACTCCACTTCCTTAACCAATGTCTCTAAAACTATCTTTTACAAAAGAAGAGGAAGAACCAAATGAAGCCTAAGTTGATTTTATTTGGTTAAAATTGTTGTCTTTTTTAGTTCAGCCTTTCAAAAAATTAACTTCACTAGTTGATTGGGTTAAAATTTCACCAAACAAAATTTATAGAATAAGAAAATGAACGTCCACAATCAAACATGAATGAGCTCATAGATGATCAACCTCTTGTGGAAAAGTAACCAAGCGAAAGCGTAATAGTGTTAAGCAGGGATAGAAAGAAGATCATAAAAAAACTCAAAATGAAATATAAAATGTTATGGTTAGGCAAGATTACTTTGACTATGCCTATGATCACACATATAAATGGTCACACCCCACATCAGATGGCGGTAAACATCGGTAAAATAGGACATGATGCAAGAATATGAAACTCTATTTTGAACTCATAAAAGAAAAGTTCATATATAAATAAAATAAATAGAATATATAAGAGTAAGAAATATAAATTAAACTAGTATTTCATTGCATTAATATAAATCATAACAAGAGTACATAAAAAAAGTAGAAACAATAATAGATGAAAGAGAAACTAAAAGAAATACTTCAAAAGTAAAACTATAGAGTCAAATTGGAATGAATATGATCAAAGGAGCATTAAAAGACCATGAAGAAGACAATAAAGCAAAGGGGGAAAGCTTGTGGTTGTCCTACTGTTGAAAGAAGAAGAAGAAGAGGAAGAAAAGTAGGGACGAAGCACTATGTTTTTCGATTAAAGGAGGAAGGATGAGGCAAGGAGGCTTCAGCAGATTCACAAAATAGAATTTTCTAGGTTCACAAAATAGAATTTCTAACACAGCCAAGTATGCCTTCGATATCACTGAACTAACTATGTTTATATTAATACCATGACACTTGCACTAACACCACTAAGTTTACTCATAGAAAGGTATGCCACAGCTAAAATTAAAAGAACCAAGCAATATATCTACTTTTCTCTTTCTGTTTCTCTTATCTTCTCCATATCTATTTTTCTCTTTTTCTTTTCCTTGCTCTTATCTTTTGCTTCAAATGAACCTATCATCTCTTTCTTCCTATGACAAGAAAATAAAAATTTCAATATAATATGATGTAGTCGCCGGCGGCAAGGTTAAACCCAGAGCAGAAAAACAACTCACGGAATAGCAAAGTCTGTAAAAAGACGAATAGTGTATTGTCTACCTTTCTTCTCCGTCAATACAGCTATATAATTCTACTACTCACATAGTGCTAATTACTATATTAAGGTAAGCAAACTATAAAAAGGACAGTAGTAATAATGCCAAAAAGATAAAAGTAGCAGCAAGGATAGTGGGTTGTTAGGAGGAAGTGGAACGTATCTGGCTACAGGAACGCTGAGTGTGAGGATGGCCACATCAGGTGCTGAGTGTGAGGATGGCCACATCAGGTCTCCCCCTGTTCTGAGAAGCTCGACTCCGACGAGATTTTTGAAATATGTATGTTATATGGTGGATGATAACTGTAGATATCAGCTACATTGAATGTAGGCGAAGTGTGGACATCGGGTGGGAGGTCTATCACATATGCATTATCATTAATTTTGTGAAGGATGGGGAATGGTCCCATTTTTCGTTGACTCAGTTTAGAGTATGTTCCTTGAGGATACCTTTCCTTGCGCATCTATATCATGACTAGCTCACACATATCATACTGCCATGGTCTTCCCAGTATTATGTGACATACGTCCATCTCAAAGACATCACAAGTGATCTGACATAAATAACTCTTGCCTATGGTGAACGTGACCTTGCATAGCTCAGAGATAAGAAAATCGACTCCCTTTTTAATCCACCCGATCTTAAAGGGGTTAGGATTCTTTGTTGTCTTGATCTGTAAAGCTTGGATTGCAGCGCGGGAAATGATATTTTCAATGCACCCGCTGTCTATCACCAAGTCACACACCTTCCCATTAATTGTACGCTTTGTGCGAAACAAACTGTTTCTTTGGGTTTCGACGGGTTTCCTCGGGGCTATAAGTACCTTTTCCATCACACAAATAACAGGTTCTCCTTCATCGGCAGACACTTCTTCTACCAGATACTCTGCTTCATCTGGCAATCCCGAAGGTTCAATGTCATCTTCGACTTCTACCAACTGGGCTTGGTGTCGCATAGGACACTCATTGGATTTGTGACCCGGTCGCAAACATCTAAAGCACTTAATGGCAGATGGCTTGGCATACGAGTTGTCCCTGGCAGGTGCACGCGGCTTAACTTGCCCCCTGGCTTCAGCTTGCGGTATTCCTCCTGTAGGAGCAACAATAGGAGGAATTTTTGGAGATGATGTGCTCACCCTGTTTGTTCCCAAATTGCCTTCCTGAATTGCTCGCCTAGGAAAATTATTTCGGCCTGTTCTTTGCGATTGCGCTTCCACCTTCAAAGCAAAATTAACAGCTTGAGAAAGTGACCAAACATAATTAAGTTCCAACTTCTCCTGAAGGTGATCCTTCAAGCCACCGATGTAATGTGCCAACAATTGATTCTCTGATTCTGTCAGATTATTGCGTGCGCTCAATCTGTAAAATTCTTCAGTGCAATCACTAACGGACCGTTGTCCTTGCATACAATTCTGATATTGGAGATATAGGAAGTGCTCAAAATCGGTGGGAAGGAAATGCCGCCTCATCAATTGCTTCATACGGTTCCAATTGCGAATGGCACCTTTGCCTTCCCGCTGCCTGTTCTGAAGTAATTGCATCCACCACGCATTGGCACCGCCTTTGAGCCTACATGCCACATATTTGACTTGCTTGTCAGGGTTGATCTCCATGTATTCAAAAAAATTCTCAACAACTCCTTCCCAATCATGATAGTCTTCTATATAGAGCCTCCCGTCAAAGAACGGAATGTCTAGTTTAATGCGAGCATGTTCATTTTCGGGCCTATGTTGCTGATGACGCCTCCCCCGATCAAATAGTGGAGGACGAACGTCTTCATCAGTTCCAGACAATTCATTTGCCGGAAGTTCACTGCCCTCTGAATCCGAACTATCCGGTGGCCTGGCTATAATCCTTCTGTGAGCAGGTTCACCTCGAGCTGGTACCCTCTGTCCCGATAAGGTTGCCGGTGCGGCTGGTGGCGCTAGAGGATTTGCAGCCGTCCTTATCTGTCTCATTTCCTCCCGCATTTCATCATCGAACCTAGCGAAAGCATTGACAAGCTCGTCCAATTGCTTGGACGTTTGTCGGTGTGTTTCCCACAACTCATCCAGACTCCGATCGGCATCGGGTCGAGGGTGGTTACTACCTTCCACCATCCGCGAAAAACCTAGATCTGATACCAAAATTGATGTAGTCGTCGGTGACAAGGTTAAACCCAGAGCAAAAAAACAACTCACGGAATAGCAAAGTCTATAAAAAGACGAATAGTGTATTGTCTACCTTTCTTCTTCGTCAATACAGCTATATATTATACTACTCACATAGTGCTAATTACTACATTAAGGTAAGCAAACTATAAAAAGGACAATAGTAATAATGCCAAAAAGATAAAAGTAGCAGCAAGGATAGCGGGTTGTTAGGAGGAAGTGGGACATATATGGCTACAGGAACGCTGAGTGTGAGGATGGCCACCTCAGGTGCTGAGTGTAAGGATGGCCACATCATAATAGGTCCATTTTAGATGCCCTATCTAAAGAACTTTAAGGAAGTGAAAATCAATATCAAATTAGGTTCAAATGTAAATTTAAACCGCAATAACAAATTTGCAACAAAATTTTGACCCTCTAATAATCCAAAATACCTTTTTGAGTAAGCAGTTTATCTTGTAAAGAGCTAAAAAAGTAAGAGAATCCTTTAAATTTTGGGAAAATAATAAAAGACAAAATAACAAAGTAAAAGAATTGAATGAGTTAAATTAAAAGGATTTAAATTTTTATAGGATTTAAAGCTGTCAATTTTGCTATTTGGCATGATTTTGACTAAATTATGCTTATATCCCACTCAAATCTATTGATGTAAGTTTATGTAAAATTTAAAGTTGCAATTTTTACTATTTGGCAGGATATTTATGCTTAAGTTTTACTCAGACCAACATATTGTTTGCTATTTAATGATATATATATATATATATAATGCATCATGTTTAAAATGACGAACACTGCGCCGTGCGCTCAGCGCCATAGCTCCACAGGTAACTACGTCTCGCCTTTGACAAGTATGTAATACCACCATGTTTACAATAATACCATTATACCACGACACTTGCACTAACATCACTGTGATTGCACCACATCGAAATCATACAACATGGCCAAAATTACAAAAGCCAAGCAATCCTCCTCTCTTTCTCCCACATATTCTCTCTTTTTCTCGTCCTTTATTCCACTCTCTTTCCCTAGCTCTTATCTTTCTCTTCAATTGCACTAAGCCATCTCTTTCTTCCATGGAAAGAAAATGCAAAATTCAATAATAGGCCCCTTTTAGGTCCCCTGTTTAAACGACTTAAGGAGGTGAAAATTAATATCAAACTAAGTTCAAATTTGTTTAAATTTAAACTACAATAACAAATTTGTAGCAAAATTTTGAACCTTTAATAGTCCAAACCAACTATTTTGAGTCTACACCTTATATTTTAAAGAGAAAACTAGGTTCCATAAATTAATACGCTAGACCTCCAATGCTCAATAAAGGCTACTGGCCACTGCCAACACTCAACAACCACTATTCTTGACCGCATATGTCCATGTGCATGCATGTGAGCATGTACTTATAGGCATGCATGCATGCATGCATGGTGCCAACGACCATCGTTTATAGGGGACCACAACCATCATCAACAGCCGTTGCATGTAACACAACAAGCGATTACCCCTTTAACAATTGAAGTGGCCACCTCTAGTGCCTGCAACCACCAACAGCTTCAGGCATGAATACACATGCGTTCATGTATGTATCATTTTCTATCTGGCCAACAAACAATTGATTAAACGAAAACTAAAGATCAAACAAGCAATTTGGTTGTTGATTATTGGATAATGAATGAAAGAAAAGTTGGTTATTTGGATATTCAAATAACCAAGATATTTGGCGTTTCCTTGGTTTAGTCACTTATCCAATCAAATTATCCAATTGCAAAAACCTCCAAATACGCCATCTATGTGCGTATGGTAAACAAGGAAAGGATTTGTTGTGCTACATGGCCTGATATAAAACATTCAAAATCTGAAACAATTTTACTTTCTAACACCTGTAAGACAAGATTTTTAATGAGCAGAAAGACTTAATATACCACATGTCGGGCAGCGGGAGAAGTATTCATCCCTCAGAACAAGTCCAGATCCTCCACATGTTCCACATTTTCTCTGCGCCACCTGGTAAAAATCACAGGAAAAAAAAAAGTTTGGATTTGAATTGACATCGAGAAACCCATAGGGACTCAGGAAAGACAACAAAGATACTGAAATTAGATAACCTAAATCAAGAGAAAAAAGAAATAAAAAAAATCTCACATACAATTCGCTTGCCAAATTCAATCCCTGCAACGATAAAGGGCGTCGCACCGGCTGTTTTGCAATCGGAACAATAAAAATACCTCAGTTTTCCAGCGGAAAATGAAAACATCATAAAGAGAAACTGGGAGAAAGCTGACCTAATGCACCAACTGCGATTTGCCAGCTAATCTCCACCGGAGCAAGGTTGGAAGCAGTGCCTCCATCCATAGCACAGATGGGAGGTACTCGAATGAGACTGATTCGTCGATTCATCCATCCTCTTTCTTTTCCTCTAAAATGGAGAGGACGGTTAGGTTTAGCTGAAAGGTTCCAACTTAGAATTTGAGGACGAGACGACACAAGAGGCATAGGAAAGGAAGAAGCCTCCATGAGAGATGGACTTCCAGAAAGCATAGCGATTTGCGAGTTAAGAAGCGCCACGACTACTCCTGCTTCAGTTTTGCTTAGCCGCGCCAACTAATCCACAGCAGACCTTGATATTTTTGGTTGGAGGTGCTTAAATGGAGAGTAAAGTGTGGAATAAAGTGAATTTATTTGAAATATTTCTAATTATTTGAAGCATATAAAGCAAGTAATTAATATTTTTTTATTTGATTTAAATTAAAATGAATGTAATATAAAATTTAAAGATGAAAGTATTTGATGGAGGCGGCGGTGGTTAGCTGAAAGCTATAGCAGATGTCACAAGGCGACATCTAGGACGAGCAGTAAGTGGCAGCGAGTAGTGGCGACAATGCTTAAAAGCAATGAGAGATAATCAACTTGAAGTATTTTCATTTGAAAGATGTGTAAAGTATTCAAAATATAAAGATTTTTAAAAAAATTAGTGTTTTGATTGAAATAAAAGAAATACATTGTAAATTTTTGAAGTATTAGGTATTCATTGTCTAGTTTAATTTTGAATATTTGAAAACTATAAGATTTGGTCAATTCCAATTACACTGTAAAAATTTCTCTACCATTGTCGACATTGTCACCGTCAGCCGTTGTTTGTGAACACTGATTGTTGGTCACTACCCATGGCTGACAACCGTTGTCATTGCCAATTTCATTTACCATCAACCACTGTCATTATTGAGTTTTACACTTCATTCATTTTACTTCAAATCAAATGAAAAAAATAATCACATTCATTGATTTTATACTCCTACGAATAACTTAAATTATAAGATTTGGTCAATTCCAATTACACTGTAAAAATTTCTCTACCATTGTCGACATTGTCACCGTCAGCCGTTGTTTGTGAACACTGATTGTTGGTCACTACCCATGGCTGACAACCGTTGTCATTGCCAATTTCATTTACCATCAACCACTGTCATTATTGAGTTTTACACTTCATTCATTTTACTTCAAATCAAATGAAAAAAATAATCACATTCATTGATTTTATACTCATGCGAATAACTTAAAATATTTTAAATATATTTCTTTCATTTTACACTACAATATTTTTTATACTATTTAAGCCTTGTAAAGTTCCACTAAACTTACCTGATTTTTTTTTACCACTAATATTTTTATTGGATTTTTATTTATACATACATCCTTTAAATTTTTTAATCAAATATTTTCTAAAGAGATAATTCTTTATATTCACATATTAAATTTTATGATAAATACTTTTTATTAAAATTAAATTTAATTAAATTCAATAATAAACTCATTAGTCATTTCTAAAATTAAATTGTAAGTGCACGTTGACCTTGTTTTAAAAGAATAATTCAATACCAATTCTATAATAAATACTTCAGTACAAATGTGATCTGATCAAATATAAGGTGGAACTTGGAAGCTTAAGCTGCAAAATAAGTGATTTTTTAATCGTACATCTAACCATTAATACACTTATAATTATGGGTGTAAGTGAGTCAAGCCGTCTCGTGAGTCGGTTCAAGCTAGGCTTGATAAATGGCTCGTTATGTTAGCTCGATTAGTTAATGAGTCAAATTTGGACCGCCGTTGACTTGACTCATTAGCTCATAAGCTCACTAATTATTTTGAAAAATATTAATATAGACTTACTCTATTCTTCTTATAGTATATATTAGCTCCCAAGATATTGTTCACTATTAGTACTTAAAAAACACTCTTCTTCTTCAATCACTATCAATGTATTAAATAAAATAATCCTATTCTTCTCATAATTAAACAAACGATCATCAATAACACAATAAATTAACTTCATAAGCCTTCCCTCACGTTGCACACTACATCATTCACAGCTTTATATGTGATTGACAATATAATGCCTCTACAAGAATCATCAAGTTGGACATCTATACTAATAATAAAGCAAATCAAATAAATTAGTTCAATTGTGGGCTCCGAAAATTCCAGCATTGTGCTCCCGGCCTCTCCGCGCATATCTCTTTTTCTTTTCTATTTGTTTTAATGTGACGGTGGAGAGTTTTAACGGATTTAGGATCCGGGTGAATTTTCAGAAGGCAGATTGAGTTTTAGATAAGACATTATATAGATATTTCACCCACATCTTATGAGGACTTTATGATATGAGTACTTGTGTCCTATAGGCGCAAGCCCCTATAGTTAATTACCCCTCTCAATAACGAGAAAGAACTTTCGATTAAGGCTAGTTATTGAAAAGGTTGTATAGGTTGTAAATACAACGTATAATAACAACAGTTTGAGGGTTTGGATTTGGGGATATGGATTTTGGAGATTGAGACTTAAGATTTATCATCATAAACATAAAACTGGTGGTGGAGGAATGAAGACAAGCCCGTCAAAATCCCATGGTTCCATTATCCCAGACTGTCATGATCCATGGTCTACTTAGTCAGAGGAGGTAGTCGACCCAACATGACATGAGGTACCTTATCGACAGTCATGGGTTGTTTCGTCCAAGAATACCTTGTAGATTTGGGTTGGTATTTGTTTAAGGAGATAGACATGAATCCACCTTAGCTGACAGAGGGCTTTATGCCTATTGAATATACCCTATGATTCATTACTCAAGGGTTTGAAACCTTTAGGGAACATACGAGCTTTGACCGTGATCGTAATATAATAATGCCATTTTGTGACAAAACCACCCAATTAGAGGGCACGTGCCACGTCCCTGCTGGCAAGAGACTATTTGAGGATGAATCTTAGTGATACACCTGACACACATTCATTCTTTATGAGCTCAGGTTAATTTCAATTTTATCACCCCCAACAAATGATTGCAGGAGGTGGATGATTCTAGTTTCAAGTTTTTAAGTGAAATATTTCATTTCAGATATTTAGACTTTTGTTAGATTTGAGATTTGACTCCTTCGGTTGAGATTTTCAATCAGCACGGCCGTCATCGGGGTGACATTAAAGTCACTTCTATTTTCATAGAAATTTGGGAGGCATTTTTGCAATTCAAGTCATGTCGACTCCAGTCCTTTCGAGGAGGATGATGAAACTTGAATTGAGATTAGACCTACACATCATTCTCTGACCGTTGGATTTTGGAATCATATGCAGCAGTTGGAGCCCATGCAGGTTATATTTATTTTGAAAATAGAATGTTACATTAGTGAGCATTTGACCTTGCGAAACATTTTCGGGCAATTGTATTTGTAACTTTAACATACGTCGGAGCACATGCAGGGTTGTATTTAGTTTGCAAATGAAATATTCTATTAACGAGCATTTGACCCTGCGTAGCATTCTTGGTTATTTGTGTTTTTAACTTTAAAACGTTGATCGGAGCACATGCAAGTGACATATATTCTTAACAAATTAATTGACATTGCATGCATGTAAATTTAGTATATTCACTTGCATATCAATATTAACTGTTGAATGGGTTGCATTCATCACTAACTCCTTTATGCAGGTTGACCAGTGAGTTGTCGCTTTCGTTACACATTGACCTTGTGTTCGTAGGAGATTATCAAACATATGTTAGGAACCTAAAATGCTATGTTAATGGTGTCTTGTGGCCCATAGGTGATTGCTTATGTGATCAAATGTGATATTGCTATCAAGCACCAAAGCTATAAGATCATTCTCTTTCTATCATTGAAACCTAAGTTACTTGCATTAAATGATCTTGTAACTATGGTTTGACAACTTGATTCAATTGCAATCTTCATGTTTCCTTCATCTTGTGCAGACCTATTTATCAATGTCAAGTACAAATTTTCTTCGACATCAAGCTGTCTAAGATAACATTGGAAAGTTTTAGAGAAGAATGGAATGGAACAATTGTATTAGCATTCGAACATTCACTATTTAAAATGCTAAATGTGCACCCATTAACCTTCAAATCAACATAAGTATCTTTATGTTGTTTGACATATACAATTTTTGAAGTAAGATGCTCATTATCACTCCTCAATCTGAAGTTAAAATGTTCAAAAGCGTTATCAAATTACTTATATAATTAATATCATTCATGATTTAATAGTGACTCAAATAAATTTGTTATTTCTTGGAGTATGATATCCTGATTAAAAGCCCATTTTGCATGTATCACATGTCCAGTCAATTTCAAATCAAGTCAGGTCATAATTTTTTTATTTCAAATTAATCAAAAAATCATAAAGTTTTATTTTTTAATTAATTATGCAAGGGTCCTTTGATTTGTTTCAATTTTCGGTAGCCTCCCAGCGCCCCTTCTTTGTGAAGGGAGGTAGAGGAGGGCGCTTGCCCTTTTGGCTTGACTCGACCATATCAAATCAACGACGAGTAGATTAGAAGAGTAAATCGATCTCATAAAGAGTCTTCAATTCTTTAATCCCTTGGTCAAAACAGATTGACGGCCAAGGCCTTCGGGGGACCGTATCAATCCCGAGACTTCCTTCAGTCTTCTCCAATTTGTTGTGATATAATAATTAAGGGACTTAATTTACTTTTTTAAAAAAATTATCCCCCTAAAAAATCCGGCAGCCTTCCGGCACCCCCTCATGCGGGAGGAGGTTGGGGAGGTTACTTGTCCTTTTGGTTCGACTCGGCCAGATCAAATCGACAGCGAGGAGATTGGGAGAGCAAATCAATTCTATAAAGAGTCTTCAAGTCTTCTAATGCGTGCCACCTGTTAATTTAAGCAATTTAATTTAATTTTAATTAAATTTAAAATTTTATTCCCCAGAAAAATACGACTACCTTCCGGCGCCCCCTCCTCGCGAGGGGAGGTTGGGGAGGGCACTTTCCCTTTTGGATCGACTTAGCTGAATCAAATAACGACGAGGAAAATGGGAGAGCAAATTGATCTCATAAAGAGTCTTCACATAAAGAGTCTTCAAGTCTTCAATCCCTCAGCCGGATCAGCTCGACGACCAAGGGCTTTTGGGGACCGAATCAACCCGGGACTTCCTTCAAATCTTCAATTTGTTGCCATACATGTTATTATTATCATTATTATTAAAATTTAAATTTAATTTCAAAAATATCTTTTATTTCCCCAAAAAATATGGCAGCCTTCCGGCGCCCCCTCCCCTTGAGGGAAGGTTGGGGAGGGCACTTGCCTTTTTGGCTCAACTCGGCAAGATCAAATCAACGACGAGGAGACTGAGAGAGCGAATCAATCCCATTAGTATCTTCGATCCCTCGGCCGGATCAGCTCGACAGCCAAGGGCTTCGGAGGACCGAATCAACCCCATGACTTCCTTCTAATTTTTTTTGCCCTGGTACTTGTTTGAAAATCTCCCAATCTCTATTTTTTTTTTGTTTAGATCAACATCAATATAAGATAATGAGAAAAAATGAAGACTAGTCCTTGAACATGATACTCATTCAAACCCAATTTCAAAACTCTATTCTAAAGCAATTGCTCAAATATTAAAGCTTCGTTTGGGACAACTTTCTTCTTGCTTTATAAAATAGCTTTCTAGCACAAAAATTTCTTGAATTTGAATTTTTTGTACTAGAAAGACTTTTTTAAAAATAGTACGAAAGCTGTCCCAAACGAAGCCTAAGTTTGAATGAGGTTTGAACCTCTATTTTGAACATAATGGTCAATCTTTAGGTTAAAAAAGAAGTACAAATTAGGTTTAAATAAAATTCAAACCTTATTTTATGAGTTTGAACCTGGCTACAAATCTTTTTTTTTTCAAAATTTATGTTGAATCCTAGGTTCAAAAAAGTTCAAACTAAATTTGAATATGATTTTATGTGTTTAAACATAATTTAAACTTTAATTCAAACATCATATTATTTGTATATCATTTTTAAACTCATTCGAAGTTTGTTTTTTGTAATCCCCAAAAAATTCGCTTAATCAGCACAAATATAAAAAAAATGTTTGAACTAAATATGTACAAAATTGAATTCTAGACCATCCAAACTTTAATTTTATGATAAAGATGGATTGCAAATTAGATCTATAATGACTCCTGAAATATTATTTGGCTATTATAGGTTAAAATGCGTCTTATAGAAGTTTAGGAGTTATGGCATCCTCTTCGTGAAAGAACATATAAAACCACGGAATGAGATAACAACTCATTAGGCTATTAGAACATACCATTAAAATCAATGCGAGAAAATATAAATAGCATGCATGTAATCATTCAATTAATATCAATTTGAACATGGAAGTATAAAAGCATGTTTTAGCCACTGTGAACAGTATTGGGTTGGTTATATGAGTAATAACAATTTATATAACTGTATATCTTAAGAGCAGTGATCAGTAACTAAATAAAGAATCAGAAGGTTCTATCATTTCTATACATATCAGTTACCGAATTGTTTAGTTCGTATATCCATTTAGAAAATCCATACACTTGTTATTATCATATGCATTACGTACAATGTTTATTTCATGTATAATATCCAATGTAGTCTACCCAATGCCAATGCAACGTGTTATATATATCATATAAATCATCGCATGATTCATATATATATATATATATATATATATATATATATATATATATAAAACGTATTTATCATATTAGGTCATATCAAATGTACAATTTATCATATGTGCTCATATCACATGCACATGCAAAAAATGCATCAATATAAGCAATGTAAGCAATATAAGCAAGATCTGACATATCTTAACTTGACCTGATATAACTCAATACTACACAAGTCATATTATACCCGATCATGAAAAAAACTAGAAACTGGCCCCAATATCCATTTGGAGAGGTACTAAAATAAACTAAACTTTTAATTTAAACAACAAAGAGCAACTACTAAATATAATATAAAGTGAAAGTCTAAATCTCAAAAATATATTTTTCATATATCATCCAAGAATACATGTACAATATAAGGTTCATCTACAATACCACTTGGCAACTGAAAGTATAATAAAATAAAAAAAAGCCTACAAAAATAAAACTAACTAAAAATCATATCTACATCACAGATTAGAGTCTGCTATCAAAATATTCAGCTCGCTCTTTACTCTTTCCTTGACCTGAAAATGGAAGCAAAAATAAAAATTAGCTAACACGGTTCAATAGGCTATCATAGCCTAAAATAGAAATCACTAGCTTAAATCAAAAGAACTAAAAATATTGTGTTATAACAATAAACTGAAGTGCTATTGAAAAAGCTAAAATTAAAATAGATATTGATACCAAATTTTTAATAAGCATTTAAATAACTAATAAAATTGTACTAAAACTAATTGAAATATAAACAAATATCTTATAGCAAATATTAAAATAGCCCGCAGGCTCCAACTTCGAGTATATACAAACAAATATTAGAATCCCTTCTCGCTGCCAACAAAATCCATTCTCTCTGCCAACAAAATTCCTTCTTAGGAAATATCAAAATAGCCCTTAGGCCTTAGAATCATAATAACCCTCATGCTTCAGAGCTTTCACTGCAGGAAAATGCTCTATTACCTACGGATGCCGGATATTATTTTTTTTTAAGCGAAAAATGATTCGAATGTAATTTGCACTTCTGGGAGAGGTCCTTGCTGTCGAATTCGTGAATCAACAACCATGGACTTGAATGGCGATCTGCTCGTCGTTGAGTTCATGAATCAACAACCACATACGAAATGGTGAGCGGGAGACGAGCGAGATTGTACAGGACTCGTGCGAAATAAATGGGGGAGATGAGGGAATATTAGGTCATTTTAAGTTTTTAGAACATTCGATCGAAAACCTACGGCTCAAATTCGTCGTTTTATTGAACCGCGTGGTTCCTGAGAACCAATGACAGTTCCACAATTCAACCGGTCGAGCTACCGATTTTGGGTCAGTTTGATGCAAAATCGGTTTTTAAAATAAATCGAACCGGCGGCCGACCGACCGGTCATGGTTCTGAATTGGTCTGATCTGATTTTTAAAACCTTGAGTTTATTAATTGAATTTTAGGCTTTATGAAAGTATAATAAAAAATATATCAAAATGTTATTATTAAAATTAATAGAACCCATTTGAAAATTATCAAATTTATTTTAAGAAAAATATAATACAAAGTAACATCTCTATCATAAATTCATAATATTTTTAATAATCTTTGAATTAGTATAAGTAAATACTTTTCCTCAATTTATCGTGGTGAAATCGGGCTTACGAGATGCATTCCTCTAAACGACGCATTTACGAACTGAAAGTAAACCCCAGCGGCAAGCTTGTGAACAGCAAAATCGCTCGTGGGTGCTTCTTGCCGGCGATTTGCGAGGAGATCACAGGTGCTTCAAAGTATCAAACCGCTCCGACGGGCGCGACGGACGACCACAGCCAGGCCATTTCCCAACCCATCTCACAGCAGAGAAGCGAAGCTTCGAATACAGGGGGTTTGATAGATCTTTCGACGTAGAGAGACAGGGAGGTTGGGAGATAGAGAGATGTATCAATGGAGAAAATTCGAGTTCTTCGAGGATAAATCAGGCGGGAAGAGTTCGATTCCTGCTGAGATCACTGGAAGGATAGACTGCTGCTCGGGCGGGAGGGGGCGAATTGTCATCGGCTGCGACGACGGAACTGTCAGCCTCCTAGACCGCGGATTCAAGCACATCTATGGCTTCCAGGCTCACGCTTCCTCGGTACTCTTTCTCCAGCAGCTGAAGGTATAATTTTTCTGATTGGTTTATTGTGTTATTCGGATTTGGGATTCCTGTCTGAGATTTCTTTGATTTAATCGGTGAACTTGGTTTCCGTGCAGTTTTTTCGCCATCTATGGATCTTTTGGTTATATTTTATGTTTTTGAAACAGTTGCAGTGACGCGAATAACAATTTCAGCTAAAGTGCTCCTAATTATACTGTCCCTTTTGGGCTGTTGTTGTAATATCATCACATTTCTTGTAAATAACTACTTCTTCAAGCTTGATTCCTCAGTATCTCAAAAACATTGAAGGCGCGTGAGTGTTTCCGCAGAGGCGGAAACTTCATGCGTCTCCTTGAAAGACAAAAGGGTTTATCTATTTTGCCATTCCATTGTTTTGCTTATCTTTGGACCAGATTCTGTAAGATTCCAGAATTTGTTTTTGATGATATAAAATAGTACAAAGGCTTTCGCTTGAGTAGATCTAAAATTGAATATATGTAGTGTAATTTTAGTAGCAATAGACCTAGTGAGGGGATTGTGACTTTGGGTGATCAAGTCATTAATAAGAGTACACGTTTTAGATATTTTGGATCTATTGTTCGAGTGATGGTGAAATAGATGGGGATATTATCAGCATAATTCAAGTTTGATGGTTGAAGTGGAGGAACACATCGGGCTTGTTGTGCGATAGAAAAGTCCCCCTCAAACTTAAGGGAAAATTCTATAAGATGGTTGTGAGACCTGCAATTTATGGTGCCGAATGTTAGCCATTAAAAGAGAAGCATAATACTAAGTTAAGTGTTGCAGAGATGAGGATGCTTATGTGGATGAGTGGCTTTACCCTTAGAGATAGGATATGAAATGAGCATATATGTGATAAGGTTTGAGTAACTCCAGTGGAAGATAAGATTAGAGAGAGCCACCTTAGATGGTTTGGTCACATTAAACGGAGGCCTTTCGATGACCTAGTTAGGAAAGTTGAGGTATTAGATTTAACTTATGTTTAGAAAGGTAGAGGTAGACTTAAAAAGACTTGGTTAGAAAATATTAGAAATTATCTTTCTTAATTAGATTTAAATGAGAATTTGACTTTTAACAGGACACAATCGCGAAGAAGGATTCATGTAGCCGACCCACGTAGTGGGATGAAGGCTTGATGTTGTTGTTGTTGTATATAAAATACTACAAATGGGATTCATACTTGGAACTGATAATGTATTATTATGTGCTAGAAAATTTGCTAGTAGAGTGTCTGTTTTATGTCTTAATTTTGACAAAAAATTATCATTTATAGAAAAAGTTGTAAGAGACAAGAATTTTTTTATGTGGAATACCCAAGAAGAGAAAAAAACTATAGGGCAACAATCCACTTTAGAAAAAGAGATACAATAATCATCCCTTCCTCAGTTGAAGAGGTGATTATTTACAATTGAGAACAACTGTTGGAGTTTCCTTGTAGGAATTATAGATATCTGATGTCCACAGGCGGATGACTAAATCCAATAACAACGTTAGATGTTGACAGAAGTCTTAACGATGATGGTTGTGGTTGCTGGTGGTGATAGTCAGTGGTAATAGCTGAAAAATGCAAAGAAAATTCCTAAATTTTCTTGGCTTTTCAATATCCTTTATTTGTAGAGAATGGAACTTTATTTATAAGTCTTTAAGACGAACATTTTGATAAATTTGGCCAAAATTTAAATCACTCATCATACAGTTCATATTGATCCCCTTGATCTTATTTATCAAATATCTGATTGCCTTAATGATGTCAAAATAGAGTGATCTTGAACTTAAATTCATCTTATTAAGCAGCTCGATTTGACTATAAGCATACTATAATTGGATGTTGGTAAATCCATCTATTTATGTTTAGAAACTTTCAAATGTAATTCATTTTCTTGATTTAAGCTTATTTGAAGTCAGATTGGATCATTTGTAACATTAATAGGTTTGTCTTGTTGATATGTTTACTTCAGCTATAAAATTGTTGAAATCAGAGTTCAGATGATCTTGAATTTAATTCTGAAAATTTCCAATTCAAAGTCTGCCTTAAGATTCATGCAAATCATATGAATATTCTAGAGTCATATCATTTAATGCCATATTTATAGTGTCTTTATTGTAAGCTTGTTGTAGTTGCCCTCTGTAGCGGTGTTTTGTTTAGGTGGATCTTGATGAGGTCTCCTCCACGAATCATGATGAGATCTCCTTCACGGAACATCTTCATTTGTCAATGTTGTTTAGCTTCCACCTTGTATTTGGCATTTGATACTGCAAACCACGTGTTCTTCTTGCTGAATATTATTCACCTCTTCTGCTAATTATTGGGCCTTCTCGTCAGTAACTTTGAGTGTCAAAAGGATAAGGTCGGTCACCATGTTCAATACCTTTGTGTAGATGATAGAAAAAGTGACTTGCCAGTTGATCGATTCATTGTAATTGTGCCAATGCTCGATCCTACAATATAGGCTTATCTCTTGCCATGCACTGAATCATGGAAACCAAAGTTCAATTGACAAGTTTGGTTTGATCACCTATTTATGGATGATATATGCTACTAAGTATTACCACAATTTCAAATTTCTTCCAAAACACCCACCAAATGTGGCTGACAAACTTGATGTCATGATCCAAAGTTGTGATTTTGGGTATTCCATGCAATCAAACCACATCTTGGAAGAATATATTGGATATGTTAATTGTTTCAACTGTCCCTCTACATGACATTAAATGTGTCATTTTTGGGAACCAATCTATGAATACGAATGCAAAATCCTTCTTAAGTTGTGACAGGTTTAGCCCCAAAACAGAGTCTATGTTGACATCTTCCCAATATTATTTGGTATTGGTAATAATATGTAAAGGCTAGTGTTTTGAGCTTGACCTTTTGCTGTTGGACAGATGTCACAATGCTGTGCAAAGTGGGCGATATTCCTATGCATCCTTGGACAATAGAAGTGGGTTCCTAGAAAAGTAACAATCTTGCCTCTTTTGGTGTGGGAAGATAAACCGCTAGCATGCAAATCTCAAATAAGAAATTCTTGCAAAGAGCCAGGGGGATAAAATTGATTTTCCTTAGAGAAGAAACCTTGTTGGATTTGGTAGTCTCTTGGATGAAGTTGTTTGATCTAGTTATCTAATATATTTCCAAAATGCTCATTGTCGCATTTAAAACCTTCAAGGCCTTGAAGCCCACAATTTATGTCCATAATTTAAGAAGAGGATTGGCCCTCAGAGGCTCAAGGCATTTGATGTTTATTTTAAGTGTTATGTCGTATGTTTGAAATTGAAGGTAAATTTTTGTAAAAAGATAACCCATTGAGCATGCATCATTGTCAGAGTGTTTTGTGAGTTTAAATACTTTAGAGCTTGGTGATCAATGTGAAGAATGAGCACCTTCTGTATCAAATACTATTCCCAATGTTAAAGGGCTCAAATAACCATATAGAGGTCTTTCTCAAATGATGTTCATTTATGTTGGACTTTGTCGGGCCTTTCACTAAAATATTTAATAATAAACCTTCCTGCGTAAGGATTGTCCCAATGCTAGTTATTCATGCATCAATTTCTACTTCATGCCATTGAAATTAGGAAAAGTAAAGATCGGTGTTGAACGTAACTATTGTTTCAACAAATTAAAGCTTAGTTCCCACACTTCACCCCTATCCAAGTGTTCCCTTTTGGAGAAATAAGCGATAGCTGCGGCTAGGGTGCTTAAATTACTAATAAACCAATGGTAGAAGGTGGGGAGGCCATCGAAACTTTGTACTTCATGGATTTTTGAAGGTGTTGATCAATTTTGAACACACTTTACCTTATCTTTGTTCATTTGAATGCCTATCCTGTTGATATAAAATTGAAGAAACTTGCACTTCATTAAGTTATGGGCAAGGTGTCCAAAAGTTGACTCAGATGTGGACGATGTTCAATTTTGTTTTTGTTGTAAATGAGTATATCATCAAAGTATATCGATGCAAACTCTCCAATGAACAGCCTTAATATTGTTGGGTGCATTTCACAGCTTGGAAGGATCATCTATCATTTGTACAACTTCTCCTTGGTCTTAAAAACCATCTTCCATTTGTTTCTTGACCGAATTCGAATTTGATGGTCCCCACTTTTCTTTGTAAAAGACATTTGAACCATCTAGCTTGTTTAATAGTCTTTTCAGCGTTGAATTGAGAATCAATATTTAATTGTAATTTTGTTGATTGCATGACCATCCACACACATGCACCACAATCCATCCTTCTTTGGCACAGCAATAAAAAGCATGCACTGCAATGTGAGCATTTGACCGCGAAACATTTTTTAGGCTATTGTATTTGTAACTTTAACATACGTCAGAGCACATGCAGGATTGTATTTAGTTTGCAAATGGAATATTCTATTAACAAGCATTTGACCATGCGTAGCATTCTCGGTTATTTGTGTTTGTAACTTTAAAACGTTGATCAAAGCACGTGCAAGCGACATATATTCTTAACAAATTAATTGACATTGCATGCATGTAAATTTAGTATATTCACTTGCATATCGATATTAACTGTTGAATGGGTTGCGTTCATCACTAACTCCTTTATGCAGGTTGACCGGTGAGTTGTCGCTTTCGTACACATTGATTTTGTGTTCGTAGGAGATTATCAAACATATGTTAGGAACTATAGAACCTATGTTAATAGTGTCTTGTGGCCCATAGGTGATTGCTTATGTGATCAAATGTGATATTTCTATCTAGCACCAAAGCTATAAGATCCTTCTCTGTCTATCATTGAAACCTAAGTTACTTGCATTAAATGATCCTATAACTATGGTTTGACAACTTGATTCAATTGCAATCTTCATGTTTCCTTCATCTTGTGCAGACCTATTTATCAATGTCAAGTACAACTTTTCTTCGACATCAACCTTTCTAAGATGACATTGGAAAGTTTTAGAGAAGAATGGAATGGAACAATTGTATTAGCATTCGAACATTCACTATTTAAAATGCTAAATGTGCACCCATTAACCTTCAAATCAACATAAGTATCTTTATGTTGATTGACATATACAATTTTTGAAGTAAGATGCTCATTATCACTCCTCAATATGAAGTTAAAATGTTCACATGCGTTATCAATTTGCTTATATAATTAATATCATTCATGATTTAATAGTGACTCAAATAAATTTGTTATTTCTTGGAGTATGAGATCCTGATTAAAAGCTCATTTTGCATGTATCACATGTCAAGTCAATTTCAAATCAAGTCAGATCATAATTTTTTTATTTCAAATTAATCAAAAATTCATAAAGTTTTATTTTTAATTAATTATGCAAGGGTCCTTTGATTTGTTCCAATATAATCGTGATCCCCTTCTTCATCAGCTCCTTTGCCTGCCACTTGGAGTGCTCGCTGTTGTTGACACAAATTTGATTTATGCTGTACTTCTAAAATCTTGTTTTAAGGTTTTTTTCCTTTTTTTTTTTTTTGAATCATGAATCGAAAGAGTTATATTCATGACTAAATGAATGTGAGATGGGAGACAACCTCATGATTGACATAAATTTTTTCATAGTTATCTTCATGCATTTAGTATATATATATATTTATCTCTATGGGATAGAAAATTTGAAAAATTACAAATGAACATTTGAACCTTGCTTATATATTGCTACCTTTGCTAATATACTTCATTTCAAGTGAATGAGATTGAACATGCTTTTCAAAAAATGTGAATTAAGTCATCAAAAGATACTAAATAAGTATTTGACGGGAAATTAAAGAAGTTATTGTATAGAAAATGAGCATATTCACGTAATAATATAAGCTAGTGAACTTATATTCAGGCCTTTACATTTATATGCTGAGCTTCAAAAGTTACGTTTGAGCTTGTTCAAAGAAGAACATCAAAGTCAAGCATTGAGCTAATTAATGTTAAGCGTAATGTTTTCCTTACTCCCCTAATTTGCATTTAATTGCAATTTATGGTTTTCTTTATTTCTTGAAAGTTCAGCATGAATTTTCATGAGATTGGCATCTCACTCTCTATAGCATTATGAGCGTATTAATGTGATCCTTACCTTTTTTTTTATTGTTCCTTGTCATGATTCAGCAACGAAATTATCTTGTAACTGTTGGCGAGGAGGATCAAACCTCATCCCATCTGTCCTCCATCTGCTTGAAAGTTTTTGACCTAGACAAGATGCAGCCAGAGGGCTCGAGCTCAACTGGTCCTGTATGTGTCCAAATATTAAGAATTTTCACTACTCAGTTTCCTGAAGCAAAGGTATTTTTGGACATAGTGTCTTGATTATTACTATTTTTTAATCTTATTCAAGCACTTCTTGATTGCTGGTAACTTTATTTTCTTCTTTCCACAGATAACATCATTTTTAGTTCTGGAGGAAGCTCCTCCAATATTACTCATCTCAATAGGATTGGAAAATGGGTCAATTTACTGCATCAAAGGTGATCTTACACGTGAGCGAATCTCAAGGTTCAAGCTTCAGGTGGAGGGTCCCGTAGAGACCAGTGATTCTTCAATTACTGGGCTAGGTTTCCGGGTCGAGGGGCAAGCACTTCAACTCTTTGCTATAACTCCTACTTCTGTGAGCTTGTTCAGTTTGAACGATAACCCACCTAGGAGGCAAACTCTAGATCAGATTGGATGTAACAGCAATGCTGTTGCAATGAGTGATCACATGGTATATAAACTATTGATTCCTTCCATGATGATTATAATTCTTTTGTTTGTTTTTCCCTTTTCTTAATCTGGCAAATTAAGCAGGATCTAATTATTGGTCGCCCTGAAGCTGTATATTTCTATGAAGTTGATGGTCGAGGTCCTTGTTGGGCTTTTGATGGTGAGAAGAAATTCCTTGGTTGGTTTCGTGGATATTTACTATGTGTCATTGGAGATCATCAAATAAACAGCAAGAATTCATTCAATATTTATGATCTAAAGAACAAGTTAATTGCACATAGTATGATGGTGGGTGAGGTTTCACATATGATATGTGAATGGGGTTACATAATTCTTATTATGAGTGACAGGAAGGTCTTGTTTATTGGAGAGAAAGACATGGAAAGCAAACTGGATATGCTCTTCAAGAAAAATTTGTATAATGTTGCAATCAATCTTGTTCACAGTCAACATGCTGATGCTGTTGCTACTGCTGAAGTTCTTCGAAAATATGGCGATCATTTATATGGGAAACAGGAATATGATGAGGCTATGTCTCAGTATATTCAGACAATCGGTCATCTTGAACCTTCATATGTCATCCAGAAGTTCTTAGACGCGCAGCGTATTTACAATCTAACAAATTACCTAGAACAGTTACATGAAAGAGGACTTGCTTCCAAGGACCATACAACCCTACTTTTGAACTGCTATACAAAACTTAAAGATGTGGAAAAATTAAACAAATTTATCAAAGGTGACGACAGTGTCAGCGAACAAAGGTTTGATGTGGAAACTGCCATTAGAGTCTGTCGCTCTGCTGGATATCATGAGCATGCAATGTATGTTGCTAAGAAGGCTAAGAGGCATGAATGGTACCTGAAGATTCTACTCGAAGACTTGGGTAGTTATCAAGAAGCTCTGCAATACATTTCATCCTTAGAACCAAATCAAGCTGGAGTCACCTTGAAAGAATATGGTAAAATTCTGATAGAGCACAGACCAGCTGAAACCATTGGAATCTTAATGAAGGTCTGCACAGATTCTGGTGAAACGAAGAGAATAAGTTCTAATGGTGCACGCTTATCCATGCTTCCCTCTCCAATGGACTTTATTAACAGTTTTGTACATAGTCCACAATCACTTATGGATTTTTTGGAGAAGTATGTGAGCCGGGTAAAGGATTCACCTGCTCAAACAGAGATTAACAATACCCTTTTGGAACTGTATCTATCTAATAGTTTATCACTTCCGTCAATTTCACGAGAAAGTGTTGGTGATGATCTGAATTTCAAAGCCAACAATTCATGGGAGGTAGCTAATGGGTCTGCATCAGGGAAAAAGACAAAACCATTTACAGAAAGCAATGATGTTAAAAAAGAAAATGATCGTCAAGAAAGATTTCAGAAAGGGCTATCTTTGCTTAAAAGTGCATGGACATCTGAGATGGAGTACCCAATGTATGATGTTGATCTTGCTATAATACTTTGTGAAATGAATGCATTCAAAGACGGGCTGTTGTTTCTTTATGAGAAAATGAAGTTATACAAAGAAGTATTTGCTTGCTACATGCAGGCTCATGATCATGAAGGGCTGATAGCCTGCTGCAAGAAGCTTGGGGATTCGAGCCAGGGAGGAGATCCATCCCTTTGGGGTGATCTGCTGAAGTACTTTGGTGAGCTTGGTGAAGATTGCTCCAAAGAAGTAAAGGAAGTTTTGACTTATATTGAAAGGGATGATGTTTTGCCTCCAATTGTTGTTGTTCAATTGCTGTCTAAAAATCCTTGTTTGACACTTTCTGTGGTTAAGGACTACATTGCGCGAAGACTTGAACAAGAATCCAAGTTGATTGAAGATGACAGAAAATCAATTGAGAAGTACCAGGTTAGCCTTTTTAAATTTCTAAATCAAATATCAAGTATATAACACCAGTGGTTTGAATCTTGGAAGAAGAAATAGCTGTTGATTTTGAATAAATTCCATTAAAATCTATTCCCCTATATTCATCCTTCTGAAAATAACAAAAATATGTCTGGTTTAACACTGATATTTGTATAAAAATATATTTGTGGAGAGCTTTTGTCTCTCTTATATATCTATAATTATTAACTGCTATGTTGACCCATATGATGATGGTAGATCTCTTAGTTTCTAAAACATCCATCATCTTAACTAAACATATGAATAATCCATGATAAGTGCTGTCTTATGTCATTCAGTTTTAACTTCCAGTCAACTATATTTGTCATGGACATTCTATATACCATGGAAGTTTTAATCCCCTTTAAAGTTTTTGTGGATCTTGTAAATTCTAATGTAAGTGGAGCATTTATGTCGTGTAAATTTTAAACTATTAGTGGGACATGTGATGCAGTGCATCTTAAATAAAATATACCTTAGGACTATTGTATCTATTTTCTAGAACTTTCTAGAATATTTCATTGCTATATTATATAAATTTGTTATAAGAGAGAAAGATATATGAAGAATTTGGGGAATCTGCAGTATTTTTACTATTTGTGCTCTTTTGAGCTGCTTAACAATGATTTCCATTACATTAATTGGTATAAGAGCTTATGCTCATGAAGAATGGCAGACTTCAGAAGTTCACTCGCGATGACGATTGGAAGAGAAGTTCTGACCGTGCATATCAGTTGGCAATCATACTGGTTGTTCGAACCTACTCACCATCGAGAACCATATCGATAAATCAATGCCTACAACCGACAACCATATCGACAACTCAATCCCCATCTATGGCAATCATATTGTAGGATAGTTTCCCGTGACCAGCTTGACCCACTGCCTTGCATGATCCTCCCGTCTGCGACCAAATTCTATCGGCGAACTTCTCCTCGCTCTAAATTGACCTGCATCGTCTGCCTACTCCCGTGCGTGCTCTTGTCCCGTTCATGCGGACACGCACTGACCCAAGTTCCTCTCCTCCCACACGCGACCATCACTACCCTTACGACACGAAGTACACACCCACACCCTTCTTTTCTACCTAGTGTGACACCGTCGTGCTATCCGAGCTCACTGTACACCGGCTTGCTTTCCCACATGCATGACCCATCCGCCAGCCCAATGCGTGCCTCATGCAAGGCCTCCAACTCGAATCTAATCCTGCTCCCACCCACGTGCGAGCGTGTCTGCATGTCTACTGCCCGCACTCCCAACTCCAATGTACGTGTGACTCCAAATGCTCAGCCTGACTCATCCACTTGCCGCGATCCCGCCGTCAACCCCTGCTCCCACATGTGAATTCTTCAGATAAAGGGGGATTGTGATGTAATGTATCTTAAATAAAATATACCTTAGGACGATTATATCTATTTTGTACCTATTTTTTAGAACTTTCTAGAACATTATATGACTATATTATATAAATGTGTTGTATGGGAGAGAGATATATAAAGAATTTTTGGAATTTATAGTATTGTTATTGTTTGTGCTCTTTTGAGCTGCTTCACAATGATTTCCACTACATCAACATGTATGCAACTTCTATTTATCATTTAAGATTTTAATTGTACTGTAGTATATAGTTGATTCTTGTCTTAATTGTTAGGGGAATGTTAAGTACCATTTTTAGTTTACCCCCTCATCCTTTTTTTAGCTAAAATGACATAAATCCACCCTAGGTGACACCGTGCTACTGATAAACTTTAGTGGGATTAAAAGTTTTATCATGAAGCCCCCAACATTTTTTTGTGGGCATTGTTCAAGGCAATAATAATATATGGGAATTCAAGCGTATTCCACCTATGTTATTATTTTCTACTAAATATAAATTTAAAAAATATTTGAGTAATTGAAAAATCATTTTCTTTAGATGCCTAGCAATCTACAATTTCAATTTTTTTTTTCTTAGATGTATTATTTTATCATGACCCGTATATTCTCTTTCCAGTTCTCTTAGAATTGTTATAAATTACGTCCATGCAAGCATGCACACAACAATGAGATCGAAAATGCCATGTTGTTATAAATTACGTCCATGCAATCATGACCCGTATAGATACTCATATCTTTGCTTGGCCTTTGAGCCAGTAAACTATTATTTTGAACTATGGATATCCGTATGAATGACACCATCATTAACATTATCCCTATTATTTGGGGTTGGCTTTAGGAATATTTATATCCATATAGGATGGGCAAGTGATTTTTTTGTTGAAATTCTGGGGGATTGAAAGCTTGATATGGTTAATGCTATCCAACATATTAGATATTATAGCTCCATCCCATGTAAAGTAAAATGGTGTTTTATCAGTGGATATGTTAATTGTTAGAGGATTTAGGACAACAACATTAAAAGTTATTAGCCATTGAGAGTTGAATTTAATGAAACATTTCAAAAACTTTTGTTTAGTACAATAATAAGAGATTTATGAAAACTAGCTTAGTATGCTAAAACATAAAAAGTTCTTCATGAAAATATGACAGTTTTAATATACTAGAGGTAGCTATAAATGAATCTCTCTCTCTCTCTCTCTCACACACACACACACACACACAACACACCTAATTTTGTAAGTCTGTTTTTCCTTATATATGCTTGCACAGAAAAACATGTTAGTGTATGATCCTATTAGGATGATAATACTTTGCCTTCCCAAGTTTGTCCGTCTTATCCAATTGCACTATACTAGAAAGAATCATATCCAATTGAACACTTTAGCCAAGAGGAAAATAAAGTAGTCAAAGAAAATATTATTAAAACTTTTTCTTTAACATGCCTTGAATAACCATATTTATATTCTCATGCCTTTTTGATCATATTGCTTAATTTTTTTTCCAACTCTAATATTGAATTTGGTCAATTATAGACCAGGTTCATAAAAAAATTATATTTTAAGTACAAATTTTGGTTAAAAAACATCATATATAAATTTAAATTGTGAACTTAAATCATATTATTCATATAATACATCCTCAATAAAATATTCATGAATTGTAATTTCTTCAATAAAATCATATTCAATCATACATGCCTGTTTGATTAGGTGCATTTTCAGTTGAATTTGGTTGTGATGCTATCAAGTTTTTCTTTGGAATTGAAATATGTTCAACAATCCCATTAGAACACTCATAATTTGCATCAGTACACAAAAATCAATATTCAGCCTCAAATAACTTTTTTTTTTTAATTATAGCTTAGTTAATTTTAAACTCTTATCTAAATTATTTAATGATGAGTAATACATGAAAATGCTGGAGTATCTCCAATGGCAGATAATATTAGAGTCATCTTAGATGATTTGGTCACATGAAACGTCGACCATCCAATGATCCCATTAGGAGAGTAGATGTATTAGATCCAACTTATGTTAAGAATGATAGAAGTATACTTAAAAAGACTTGGTTAGAAAATATTAAAAATGACTTTTTTATTATATTTCAATGAGAATTTGATTCTAAATAGGACACTAGAGAAAACTGATTCATGTAACCGACCCCACGTAGTGAGATAAAGGCTTGTTATCATCATCTAAACTCTTTAATGAAGAAAATATTAGTAACAAAATGTTTATAGATAAATCATATGTAGCTTCTAGACATTTAGATATTGCATATTATTCATATATGTTAGAATCTTGTTGTTTACAATTTTGAAATGGTTTATGCAATCTATCCATATATTTATCAATTTGTAGATATTTCTCCTTGAGTTCATCTTTCATGCCAGCCCATATTAATTTTATTTTGGAACACTTTTGTCAAAATAATTAGACATGTCTGCCAATTTTTTTTCTATTATCTTAATTTTCGTAGAGGCAAATAACTAATGATATTAAAAAAAAACTCTTCCAAATTCTGAGTCCATGCTGAAAATTTTCCATGTTCATATCCCAATTGAATGAAGGAATTTAATTTTGATCTTCAAGATGTTAATTGTTATTTATTGAACTATATTTTATCCTATTTTGTTTAAATTATATCACTTATTAAATTTTTTCATTGTTCAAATTAATGTCTTACATTTAACCAACATGATGTTAAAATTATAAGCTCATATACAAAACTTGATACAGGATGACTAAGGGTTAAGTTTTCTAATGCAACTAGTATTATGTATAATATGATTTCATGTATAGAAAAACTCAACATTTATAGATCACATACTCCCAATTAGTCAATGACTTATTTTATTTAAATGTAAACAAGCATTATAGACTTTAAAATTAGCTTATAATGAAATGATTTAAATAATACGAGAATTTCAACAAGAAATCTGAAACATTTAAAATCAACAAGCAAATTAAATTAAAATTTGAAAAGTTAGATTTCCTACATGTCACTTCTTTATCAAAAGCAAAATCGTTAACACAAAAATTCTAATAATTAATGTAGTTCAAGTAGAAAAAGGAACTAAAATAACAAGGTAAGAAACAATAAGCTTCACACTGGCATATGGATGTGAATTCCTCCAGAATCCAACAGTTGTACTTGTACTTATTTCACATCCAATGAATTACATGTTCAATTTGCATTCGAAGGATTAAAACTGAAAAATAAATTTTATGAATTATTACGAATTTTCAACCACATGAACTCAGCAAAAAACACATCTGCGAGACCAATAAGCCAGTTAAAGCCCAAAATAAGTATCAGCGAAATCCTAAACAGAAAAGCCATAAACATCCTGTTGTAGCCTAAAAGCAGACTTTAGAAACTCCGAAACAACAATGCCCAAAACTTCCATGCACAGCCTAGCTGCTGCATGAGTTGCTAGTCACATTTGAAGCTTGAATGCAAAACAGTTGTAGCGTACTTAAGCTAAAGCCTAATTACGCTTTAAGCTTCAAGAACCTATCAAGCTTAACTGATGAGGTCATCGACAGACATTTTAGGCAGGTTTATCGGCGAAGGAATCGTAGATCGACGGCTACGATCGGGAGTTTATATTTTTGATGTTGTCATGATTTTTTTATGTTATTTTATTTTATGTATCTTTTATTTCATGCCTAGGATCCAAATTCAAATTCAAATTTCCCTCCCCCTCTCATTTGAAACTTCCCTAATTAATTAAAATCTGAAATTAAAGCTCATATTGTATTTAAAACCTTGGGGCCCACTAATTAATCAAATCCCTCCTCTTTCTTCCTTGGCTTGGCCGGCCCCAACACCTAGCCGTTTCTCTCTACTTGCCACCTAAGCACCCCATAATCACCCTCTTAATTTTCCCTCCTTAACCGCCCCTCTCTCCCACCTAATTAAGGGAAATTTTAAGAGCAAATAACGGCTCCTTCCCCCACCCAAAATATGAAATTTAATTTCAGATTTTCCCTCCAATCCTCTCCATAGCTCACGGCCCAAATCCCTTCTCTTGTCTCCTTCGATCCCTTCTTCAATGTCGAATGGCGGATCTGGAGCTTGAATGGGGATTAGTATTCCACACCGACGGGAGCATTGATATCCTACGTTCTCCTTGCTTTGACGTAGGATTTGAAGACGACGCCACAATCGAAGAGTACTTGGAGCGAGTCGTCCCGATTCTAGCAAGTATCTTCGACCGACAGTTTCGTGGTTACACTTGGACGATCATCGGACGCCGTCCGTCACCACCTTCCCCGGCGAATACCTCTCCGGTAACAAAGTCTTTCGTCGCCTTTTCCGTAGTGGTGCTCCTCATCCTCGCATGGTTCTTTCTTCTCCGCTAAAGCCCAAGAGTGAACGAGAGAGAGAGAGGGTACTCAAGGTGAAATTCTTCATTATTAATTGTGGGATTTTTGTTATGAGCAATTAAGTAGATCTTTTATTTTGGGAGTGTTATGAATTGTTTGGTTATCTCAAAGCAAATCTTCGCCTAAGCAAGTTAATTACCTAGAATGATTTAATCCTTTATTTTATTGCTAATAAAATTTGTTTTGACAACGCTTTGAATAACTTTCATGATAATTTTTCAAATACAATTCCTACAATGATTCACATCATTAACTAACTCGGATAAGCTGCCTTTTTTTTTTTTTAACAAAAAAACTAGTCAAAGGCAACTCACTAGAAGGATTAATTATTCTATGTGGATGCCGAACGCCGTCTGTAGACAAACCAGATGCATCATGTCACCCAGTGCTCAGTACTGCAGCTCGGTATTGCTTGGTGCCACTCAGTGCCGCGGCTCGATATTTCTGATGTGACGCATTCTAGTTGGTCTCTAGACGACGTTCTGCACCCGATCTCCACAGAATAATTTCTCCAGTAGAAGAGCGCTTCACTACTCCTTTAGGGGATCCCTAACAAGCAGCGTCTGTATAAAGCCCATATCGTGCACCGATCAAAGGTTGCTAGACCAAACAGAGACTAAACAACATCAACTATGCTGCCAGTCCACAGCAAAGCAGTAGATAGGAGAAGCAAGCCAACAAACCAGAGTTAGAGAAGACAACACGTTCTCACTTGGGATTATCATAGACATGTCTGAACCATTTATACTTCCAATGACTATAAACTAGCAGATTTCCATCAACAAAAGCAAACCCCATTTGGCATTGCCTCAAACATAAAAAAGATACATCGTTATGCTTCAAATTTGTACTGATTTATTAAGGCTTCGTCTGGGACGGCTTTTTTATTACTTTCTAAAACGGAGTTTTAATACAAAAATAAAAAAATTTGTACTAAAACTCCATTTTAGAAAGCAGTAAAAAAGCCGTCCCAAACAAAGCCTAAATATTATACTTTGCAACATTAAAAAATTTTAAAGTTGCTACATAATATGCTGTAAATGTGTTTTACAGAGATTCCAATTTGATCATGTCAACTGTAATAATCAATATGATGCAGAGTATGATTCTGATTTGACTTGTGTCTATATTCATTATGTTGTAAGAACAATGAAGCTGCTAGTTATGTTATTAATTCGTTTCGATTGTCCTATAGGCTATATGTAGCAAGGAAAGAAATAATAACCACCACTCCTTTCTTACACACAGTAAACTTCAACCAGGGCTCAAAATATTAATATTACATGTCTATCACTCATAGAACAAATTTGGGTGCATGGAATGAAATATTAAAGTTTATAGAATGGTATGAATGGTAGAAATGAATTATAAGAGTGATATATTTGATATTAAAGTTGTGTATGGGTGGTAGACATGTAATATTAATATTTTAGGTATTAGATATGTAAATAGCACGAAATAAAGTGGTTGTATGTAAATTTTCCTTAATTGATTCAATTTTACAATCCTGACCTGCAGGAAGGAACCACTTCAATGAGAAAGGAAATACAAGAGCTCAGAACGAATGCAAAGATCTTCCAGCTAAGTAAATGTACTGCTTGCACCTTTACTCTTGATCTTCCCGCAGTTCATTTTATGTGTATGCATTCCTTCCATCTGCGTTGCCTTGGTGATAATGAGAAAGAATGCCCTGAGTGCGCACCTGAGTACAGAGCAGTATTAGAGACTAAAAGAAACTTAGAACAAAATGCCAAGGACCAGGACCGTTTCTTCCAGCAAGTCAAGAGCTCCAAAGATGGTTTTTCTGTGATTGCTGACTATTTCAGTAAGGGCATTTTGAGCAAGACAACTAATGACACTGATAACACCTGAAGCTCATTGAATCTTCATGGCATCTTCAGAGGAATAAAATGAGCATTGTTAAGCTTCAGATCTTAGTGGAAACCCACGCAGTTATTGGAACCAGCCAGGCCAAGGAGAATAAGTTGTTGATGGTTGGGACGCTTTAGTGGTGGTATTTTGTGCAGGTGACTTCAAGCCTGAAATTTGTGTGAAGGTTGAAGATGAAACAGATTTTTGATAAATCATTTTAAGTTTTCTTAACACAGTTTTGGGAGTTTGATGTACAGCGTGACTAATGATGGTGATAATTAATCAATCATTTCAGACAGAAATATTTGTTATTTTTACCTTATTTTTAATGTGAAGATACACTTGAATTGACCTTGTTCACAAAGCAAAGTATGATGTATTTTGCTTCATGTGGAGATTTAGGTTTCGTTTGTGTCAACTTTCTTAATGCATTTAAAAGTAACTTTTTAGTACAAAGAAAGTCATCTCAAACGAAGCCTTAGATTTAGGCTTCATTTGGGACGATTTTCTTACTGCCTTTTAAAATAATTTTAAAAAAAATAAATAAATACATTGCTTTGTACTTGTTGAAAGATGAGTGAGAACTCAATCACTTATTATTATGATTATGTGTTGATGATGTCTCTTCTCTTCTATACTCTACTACAAAATCTCTTCATTTTCTCTCTTCATTTTCTTTCATTCTTATCATCATTGTCATTATTTTTTTTAATGAGATTTTTATAAGTGAAGATTATATAATTTATATAATGAAGAGTTCATCTACTAATTTTAACAATCAACTAACATTGAAGATATTTGTGATAGCCTCCATTGTCCACTTTTTATTAGCCTTCATTTAAAATTTTATGATAGCCTCCATTGTCCACTATTTTTAATAATTAAGAAAAGATCTTATTTAAAATAGCTAATAAAATTTAGAATCCACATTTAACAATTAATACTAAATCCTATCAAACACTCACTAAGATGCTATCAAATCCTACATGAAATCAATCTTTTATTTCCATGACTTAATAAATCATAGTTAAAATTCAGGCTTCATCAAATCCTAGTAGAATTGTGATTCAAGAGATTTGCTTAATTAGCATAATATACTAAAGCTTAGTTTGGGATAGTTTTCTTATTGCTTTCTAAAGCAATTTTCTAGTATTTCATACTAAAAAACTACTTTAAAAAGCAGTAAGAAAGTTGTCACAAATTAAGCCAAATGCTTCGTTTGGGATGACTTTTTCTCTGCTTCTTAAAGTAAATTTTTAGCACAAAATTTTAATTTTTATACTAAAAACTGCTTTAAGAAGCAGAAAGAAAGTCGTCCAAAACGAAGCCTAAATCTTAAACTCAACCAAACACCCTTAATAATATCTTATCATACCATCATAAACTATAATCACATCCTATAACCTCCATTGAATCATCTCTTATTATCATGATAATTACATCTACACAATCATCTCATTTTACTTCTTCAATTCACTACATCTTATAGATAAATGCAATTGATTCTTAAGAAGCAAGTGGAGCCACTTCAGCACCTCATCTCCTCCCCCCTTTTTTTCTATCACTTTATAGAGAAGAGCGCAAAGAATGTAGGGCTGCTTAATCTGCACGTTACAACAAGCAAAAGCAAGAAAGAGTCAGTAAAAAAAAACTTGAAAGCTACGCCCACCACCTAAAGCTTAACAACTAGCATGCCACACAGTTCCAATTACTTTCAGACAAAATAAGTTGTAATATAATTACAGCAGCAGAGCAACAGAACAGCAGCAGCACTGGAAACAACACCAACTTAACTATTCACTTTCAAGTAAAAATCTGTCTCTTCAATCTATTCTTAAGAGACAGCATCAGACCCAAAAATTATTCCTCATTTGTCCTCCCTTCAAGGCCTACAAACAAGCAGATATGCTTCTTTGCTTGAACAAATAGATTATGGAAGAGTACATTAATTCAACAAAACTTTCTTTTTTCTTTAATAATGTTTAAGTCGATATTCTTCTTAAGTGTATAAAATAATACCTGAAATTTCATTAATCAAATACATATTACAGAATAAGATACTATGTCAGTGTCAAAAGAGACCCATGAACTTAGTGCTAAAGATAGTAAATATAAAATTATAGTAAGAATTAGTTACAAATTTTCATTAGTCTCTCATTCTAATATCAGACTCTTCATACTCTTTGTTTTGATTTTTTTTTTTCGATACTCGAAAATACAGTAGTTCATCAATAAATAAGGTATTTAGAGCATCTCCAACTGAAAAACTCAATCTTTCACTCCAAAATGTAGTAATGCACAAAAAATATAGTAATACACCAAAATGCAATAACTCCTCTCCAATCAAACTCTATTTTCTAACACATAAAAAAAAAGAATATCTTGTGTATATTCTTTTTCGTCTCTCATTCTAATATCAGACTCTTCATACTCTTTGTTTTGATTTTTTTTTTTCGATACTCGAAAATACAGTAGTTCATCAATAAATAAGGCATTTAGGGCATCTTCAACCGGAAAACTCAATCTTCACTCTAAAATGTAATAATACACAAAAAATGCAGTAATACACCAAAATGTAGTAACCCGTCGAACTCAATTTTCTAATATAAAAAAAAAATATTTTGTGTATATTCTTTCTCATGCTTTATTTTATATTTTTTTAATCATATATTTATATAAAAAAAAAATTAGCGGCGTCGTACTATTCACCCTCACCTGAATAGTGTTTTTTTTTTTGGATCGAATGGAGCAAACCAACGACGCCAAACGAGCATTTGGCGTTCGGGTGGAGATGCTCTTAATACATAAATGAGATGTTTCTGCAGAAATTGTAAGTTTTTTCATTTGAGGATGTTCACTGAAGTAACTTAGTAGCTTAAAGGAGGAATTCAGGAGTAAGTCATAGAGGTTTTAATTTATGATTGAGATCTGTAACTTCTGTAGATTCAGCAATCACCATTGGAGCAGTCCTGTAATTTCATGTGGATTAAACCCCTGTGAGGTAAGTTCAAATTTTGTTCTCTTTAAAATGATGAGTGATTAATGAGTAGTTCTACGGCGTTTTACTTGAACTGTAAGCACCAACAACATAAAACTCTAATGAAAGGAAGAAATACATCTCCTCCGATCTATAAAAAAGAAAAGCTTTCAGTCTTAACAGTCCTACACGCTCTTTTTATTCCCTCCCAGCAAAAATCCAAAAGCTAAAGTCACTTTCCTTTATCACTATCCCAGCTCCATAGAATACCACAACAAACTCTTCTTCTTCATTGGATTTTGTACAGATTCTCCACTAATCAAAATACCACCTCAGCACATGCAAATGAATGCCAAAAGAAAACAGTCAAAATGGTCCCTGTATTATTTATAGGTGTCATTTTAATCACACACTATAAACATGCTTAGTTTAATCACTAAGTTTCTCAAATATAATTCAAAATAGTCTCTTTAGTGGATTTATTGAATCAGATTTAAAGAATCGAGAGATTAAATTGGTCATTCAGGAATTATTTTGAAAATTTTTCCTCTAAGTGCCAAAGTACATCCTCCAATCTCTATAAATACGCACAAACAAGGCCTTACAGAACACAAAAAGAAGGATCTAGCTAAGCTTCAAAGAACTTCATGGGAAGGCACAACAACGAAAGTGGAGCTCTCCTCCATTCTTCCATTGCTCTCTTGCAAGAGCGTTTCAGGGAGCTTCAAAGAATTAGAGAAATGAGAGAGAAGAGGGAGCTGAATAGGCTTTTTTCTGAAGCAAAGTGTTTAAGTTCTTCTCCTTCTAGTCAACCGAGATGGTTCTATCATCCTGAGTTGTGGAATCCTTCAAAACCATCGAAGGTTTATGAAAAAGAAGGGGAAGGAAGTGAGTTCCAGGATATGGGGAACTCACTTTCAAAGAGGTTTTGTCCTGATGAGAGGGTTATGAAGAAGTGTATTGAAGCAGAGATTGATACTTCTCTTCATCTGTAAAGAGTGCTTTCCCAATTATGTGTATTTGGGTTGGTTGGCAAGTTCTAATTTTGGAATGTTTTCATACTTTGTTGTGCTTCTTCTCTTCACTTCCTGTTGTTTCTGTTGTTTCTGATTGTTTCTGGCTGTTTTATTTTGTTGTTTTCATGCTTTTTGTGTTGGTGGGATGAGTGGGGAGATTAGGAAATTTGGAATTGGAAATGTAACTACTGACAGCATTACTGCTACCACTTTTTTTTTTTTTTTTTTTGAAAGGAAAGGCTTTTGATAAATTTATTTTTCAATAAAAATCAGATATTCTAAGTAAATTCTGTATGAAAATCTACTCTTTTTTAATAAAATAAAGTAAAATAGAAGAATGTGTTACAATTTTATAGAAGATTTTCAGAATGAGATAACAGACAGATCATTTTTAGTCACTTCTGTTCCAAAAAAAAAATTGTTTTGCAACTCTTTTGATCTAATCTGATATAAATCACCTATTTTGATATAAATTATTTCATTCAAATAGGATGACATAGATGAAAAGAAACAAGAGTTCTATCAGCTTAATGCCTTTGTTATGAAAAAAAGGAGAGAGAGAAGCCAAATAATATAAATTTTAGAATGAGACAAACAGTAGCCATCAGATAATCAAATTCAAATGATTTGATAATTAATTAAGTTATGCTAATCTATCATTACCAAAATTAAGCCAAAGGCCAAAGGGCTCTCACTAGCAACAAAATGCTAAGCTTTCTAATAAGGATGATATTATGGCCTTACTTTACAATCCAAAGGAAACATTAAGGAACTAACAATATGAATCTATCATGATAATTACACATTTCATTTACTCTTTGTCTTGAAATTCATTTTAGATGATTGAAATTTATTTGATGAATGTATTTTAAATGCTCATTTGATTTTTTGTTGATAGAAATTTATTTTAGAAAATAATAATAGTAGTTTTTTTCACTTATATTGTATGTGAAAATTGATTAAATATGTTTGAGGAATTTCGAAGAAAATTGTATAACTTAATAGCAATATTTATTTTTAACTAAGATTTTGAAGCATGACTTTGATTTTAATTTTGATCTTATGATAAAATATTGGTTTCTATAACTTTGATCTAATAGTAAGCTTTAGTGATAGAATTTTGAGACAGCTAGAAATTTTAGTACAATTTTATTTGGGATTAAGCTTCGCCGAAACTCTTGAGTTTTTGTCGAAACTCCTAAAATCAATCGAAATAAAAAAAATATTAAAGGGTTTACGAATAATTTCAATTGAAATCAATTAAACTAAGGCTTCTTCTGAGACAGTTTTTTAACTGCTTTCTTAAGCAGCTTTTTATTAAAAAAGCTTCTTGAAAGCAACAAAAAAAGCAATGACCAAATGCTATCCTAAATGAAGCCTAAATTCATATTATTTGATAGTTTCAGTAATAGATATTTAATTTATGCTTCTTTCAAGTAATAAAATTAATTTATGTGCTTCATTAAAAGAATTTCTCTTTCATCACTATCACTTCTTGTTTAGCCAGTTCTCAAAGAAAATGTCTTTGTTGAAATAATGAATAGAACAATGCGTTATAGAAACCGCTGGAAATATCACTATAATGCAAGCTCTCCTTCTGTGGCTATGTACACTTAAGCCACAATATGCATAACACAATGGTTAATTTGTGCATTGTCTCTATATTTAATTTGCTCAATCTAATTCTTGAAAAATTCAAACTAATTTATAAGTTTATAGTTTTTTACCAATAAATTTGAGTGTTATGTGTAAGATTGGTAGAAAAAACTTGACAAATTCCAAATGTGTTGTCAGTAGAAGTTGAGTGGAGGGATTGAGATATGATGGATTAAACATTGTGATCATCAATTTATATAGTTCCAATTTCAACATATATTACAAATCCCTTACTACAAGCCACTTTATAGCTCCAATGACTTCGTCGTCATTAGTAGGCATCAAAAGAAATTCATAGCTTAAAAGATGACGACAGATAAATTCTCTTTTTTAAGATCTTCAGATATTGTTTAGTGTGAAAGTTATGTTGGATGATTTCTACCACCAATATATGTTAGTCTAAAGTCCTCAGATATTATTTTCACATGTATGTTCATATAGGTAATTTTTGGTACCAAAAATGCCCCCTGTTAAGGGGCACGACCAAGGGAGATTGTGGTCAAAGCAACACTCACCCAAAGTAAATGTAATTTTGCAAAGCAATTGCTAAAATTAGTTGGTGGATAAACGACCACTCTGCTCCATGGAGATCACAACTTGCAAGCTTGTCTTAGTAGATTAGACCGAGGGTGCCATCATCCTCGACGAGCTCCTCCAAAGGACTCATCCAGATTATTCCACGCTGTGATAACCACTCACCTTAATAGATCTCACTCACCAAATCAGTTGCTCACTATTAAGGTCAACCATTTATTGAAAGTGTCCCTAATTAAGCTATATGAATCACACACCTTGTAAGCCTATAAATCACAACTTTATTGATTAGATTCATCTATGATTCACATCTATTTCCACTTGGGGGACACTCCCCTCACTTCCGAGAACTTGTCTCTCATCTCTAGGGACTCACCTCTCGTATTCTTAGGGTCTCTCTCAAGGCACTCGCCTAAGAGGAGAGGCCAATTTAGAGATTCGAGATTGGTGTCCACATATACATCATCCAGCTAGTCTACATTTCTATGCCTTTCTATACTAGTCAAAGTATGTATTATTTTTTTATATATTTTAGATTAGTCTTTTATATAGCCCACTTGATCCTATAAATAAGAGGTAAATGGACAGTTTTGAGTATCATATTACATTCATGCTATGGGTTTGATTTATAGAGGCATTATAGCTTTACTTCATACTTACAAGTTTTTTTTTCACTCAATTCTCTATTCTAATCTACCGATAACCTATAAGTTCGATGTGATTCACATTCACAGACAAATTTGTATCCATAAGATATGATTAACTCTTCATATAAAAATAACACATCAATCATCATACTCGCCAACTCATCCAGGTTAATTATTCATTTAAAAAATAAACTTCTTTGACAAACACGTTAAAGCACTAAATAAAAATCTATGACAAAGAACAATGATTCATTGAAATAATCCTAACCAAATATGTTCTATTTAATACAAAATTTCATAAAAATGCTGTAATTCTCTATATTAAGCAACAACAACTCATATTAAAAATTTAATGGCCAACAAATGCCTATTATGAGCTATAAATACTATCGTAGGTCTGCTTAATGTCCACTAAAAATTCAATGAATGTTAACTTGTTCTACAGTTATATAGTTTTTTAGAGAAATTTTACGCCCGAGAAAATAAAACAAATCTTATCTCTAATCAATTCTTAACAATTGTAGTTCTTTCAAAGAGAAATCATGCTCTTCTTAGATTCTTACTGCTCATATTTTTTTAGTAAAATTTCACTAAAATTTACGAGTAATGGTTAACGTTCTAAAGATCAGGTTTTAAAGTTTTATTAATGCAAATAAAATTTAATGACATTTTTAGAACTTTAACCATTACTTTAAAGTTTAGTGAAATTTTATCGAAAATATATGAGTTGAGCAAAATTTTGAGTTTTGCTTAAGAGGGTATTTTGTTTGAAGTAAAATTTGTGTAAAGTATTCCAATTGCATGGGGCTTGAGAATATTGGTATTTGATTTGAAGTAAAATAAATACATTGTAAAATTTGATGCATTCGGAACATCATCTAGTTTAATTTTGATGCATTTGCAATTCCTTATACTTAGACAATTTACAAATATACCATAAATTCATCCCCATTGTCGTAGCTTGTCACCACCCGCTGTCGTCCGCCACTTACCAGCGCCTCTACCACTGCCACCCTCCAACACCAACCGCAACCGCCACCCACCTCCAACTGCCATCGCTACCATCTCCACCCTCCCGCTTTGGCCTCTGCCACCGACAGCCACTACCCCGCCGCTTGTCGCCACTTTCGGGTGCCTCTGACGGCAACCACAATGCCACCATCAGCCACCACCACCGCCATCAAATTCAAATACATTACGATCAACCAAAAAAACCTAAAACTTGTTGAAACTCTTTAATTTTCAGCCAAAACTGTTGAATTCAATTGAAATCAAAATTATATTAAGTTTTTTTGTCAATTTCAACCGAAACCAAATGAAATTCATAAGAACTTCAAAACATGATATGAGAATTCACTTTGATTCAGAAGAATAAAAAAAAGACTTGTATAATAATTACATAGCTAAAGAGATGTGAATGCAACTTATTTCTCAAACTTTATTCCATGAAAAAAAAAATTGAATAAGTACGATAAAAGAAAAGATGATGCCAAATTAAAAATGAAAAAAATAGCAATAAATTATGAATTGGTCGTTGCACGATAAAAAGACACTTTCATAATCTTATTATTTTAGATATTATTTAAGTTTAATTGATTTATGCTTCATTTGTGACCGCTTTTTTACTGCTTCTTATAGTAGCTTTTTAGTACAAAAAATAAAATTCTTGTAGTAAACAATTGCTTTAAAAAGCAATAAGAAAGCCATCGGTTTCATTTGGGACAGCTTTTGTATTGTTTTTTAAAAGATCTTTCTAGTTAAAAAACTAAAATTTATGTAAAAGAAAGTTGTTTTAAGAAGCAGTAAAAAAGTCGTCTCAAACGAAGCCTTAATCATTTTTATGACATAACACCTAAAATTATTGAAAATACATATTTAACACCTAAACTTTTATATTTACTAATATACCACCTAAAATTTCCCTTTCCTTCTATTCTACCACTCCATTGAAGCGATGAGATACTTGTATTCACCATGAAAGGATGCCATTGATGGGGAAGACCGTCGCTGATAGTGATTTTTGATGGAAGGTTTAAACGGAATGCTATAATTGATTAAAAGAGGGGTTTTATGTGGTATATTAGTAAATACAGAAGTTTCCGTGTTAAATATGTATTTTCAATAATTTTAGGTGTTATGTATGTAAAAATCCCTAAAAATAAATATGAATTCTAATTTCACAAAATATGTATTTTTTGATCCGATTTACTCAATTAAATTTCGATCCAAGCTAGATTTGGTTCATTAATTTGCTCACTGACTTCAATCTGAGCTTATCCCAAGCTAAAAAGATATTCCAACTTTTTTATGGATCACTGTTCTTAGAGTAAATTTTAATAGAGTTGCAGATCTCTATGTCTTAAAGATCATGGTTAAAGAATCAAATTTCCCCTCATAACAAAGCAGAAGGGCCATCTTTGCAGCTGTCGCTGAAATAAACAAACATAAGAGGTAACTTCGATTTTACTTCAATGAAGTAAATGAAAATGAAGCAGTGGGAATCTCAGAAACTAAGGGCTTCAAGTAAAGAATCTAAAAAGGTCTTTGGCATCCTGGAGTGCAACACTAGAATAATAATTAAAGGAGAAACTGTATCTGTAATCTCTGTAACTAAGGCTTTTAAGTATTGCCTTCTCATTCTGGACTTCCAAAGCAGCTTGAGGAAGAAGAAGATGAGCTACCTTAAGCAGATGATTATGTTCTTTATTCTCTTCATCATGTTAGTAATATCAAGATCAGGTAAAATCATATTCCTCTCACTGTTTCTACTTAACTGATCAAAAAATAGAAACCATTTCACTTGCTTAGCATTTATGTGAGTTTCATTGAAGTGAGTTTAGTGATCTTTGTGTTTTATAGAAACTCATTTCTTGTGAAATTAGTTTTCTAAATTATTTTATTGTATTTTATTATTATGTTGAAGTTATATTCTAATATATTATTTCATTAAATTTATATTATATTATTAGTATTGAGTTTAAGAAGTAAATTTAATGGTGACTTTCAACTACTCAAAATTAGAACTGACTTACTGTGTTTATGAAAGTGAGTTCCAAAATTAGGAACTCGCTTTCACTCACTTGCAACCAAACAAACGCTTTAACTCAGCTCTAAAAGTACTAATCAAATAGCTTACCTTAAAAGAAGTTAGCATTTGAAGCTGCTTCCAACAGTTCTGGTTTAACTTATGCGTGTGCTCAAGAACATGGTTTATTAAACAAATTCAATTTAAGTATGTTTCCAAAAAGCAACATTTAAATTCTTATTCCCTAAATTTGGGCTTCGTTTGGGAAAGTTTTAGATCAGTGTTTTTTTCTGTATTCAAGAGATTTTTGTATTAAAAATCAGCTTTACGAAGCAATAAGAAAGCCTTCATTCGTTTGGGACGGCTCTCTTATTGCTTCTTAAAGCAGTAAGAAAGCCGTCACAAATCAAGCCTTAGACTTCATTTGGGACGATTTTCTTACTGCTTTTTAAAACAACTTTTTAGTACAAACATTAAAAATTTTTAACTAGAAAACCGCTCTATGAAGCTGTAAGAAAATTGTCCCTCATGAAGCCTTAGTTTCACAGTTAAAAATTTGGAATTGTTTGAACTACAGTTCTGGAAGTGAGTCACATTGAAACAAATTGCAGCGATGTTTATTTGTAGTGCAGAAACTCAATCTTGTAAAATTGTGTTTGCTTCAACTGCAATAAGTTGAATTGTTACTCACCCTCAAATCATCTTTTCATTATTTTATTACTATTCTAAGTAAGGATAATATTTCAACCAACATCCCATTAATTTGTTGTTCATATCAATAAAACTAAATCAAAATTTCTATGACAGATGAAGCTTTTCTTGAGCCCCAATGGTGCATAGCAGATGAACAAACACCAGATGATGTTCTACAAGAAGCTCTAGATTGGGCTTGTGGACCTGGAGGTGCCGACTGCACTTTGATCCAGCCAAAAAAACCTTGCTTTCTTCCGAATAACATGAAGAACCATGCTTCTTATGCCTTCAACAGCTACTGGCAGAAATTCAAAAACAAGGGTGGTTCTTGCTACTTCAATGGTGCTGCCATGGTGACAGACCTAGATCCAAGTAAGAGCTTCTCTGGTTTAACTTAGGATTTGTTTGGGGCGGCTTTCTTTCTGCTTCTTAAAACAAAATTCTAGTACAAAAATTTTAATTTTTATACTAAAAAGTTGTTTTAAGAAGCAGGAAGAAAACCGTCCCAAACAAGACCTTAAACATGCAGGAATCCTTCGATTGAAAGACTTGCATATGAAAAGACTTGTGATTAAATTCAAAGGCATCATAGTCTAGTGATAAGAACAAAGAATTTCATGAGATGGAAATTAATATGGACAATCAACAAAAAGTTCTTTTTTGAGAGTCTAACATAAGTATTTTTCATAAATGTTTTGACTGCCACTTCATACTAATTAGATCCACTTGAATTGATAGAATGGTTAAAAATAAATTTTGAATTAACTTTTCTTACTACATTCATATAAGCAAGAACATAACATGATTTCATCGCATACCATAGCATGCATTATTTGGAGGTGGGTTAGCATGCATTATTTGGAAACATGCATAACACTCAAAACTACAAAATTTACATATTGAACTCCTAAATCTTATATTTACTTGATGTACCACTTTGTGAACGCTCTCTCTCACGCACACAAAGAGGAGATCACCATAGAATCTCACTGTGAAGGGCGTTGACGTGATGGATCACGACAAGGAAAAATTATTCTATTCCGGAGACCAACCAGAATGTGTCACGCCATTTTTTTCTCGGTACCGTTATGTATCGGATGATGTGACGCATTCTGGTTGATCTCCGAACTGTCCAATGTTCGCACATAATAATTTCTCCGTGACAAGGGCATCAACTAGACTGTGGAATGTGTGAAGAAGAAGTCAAGATAATATCTCAGCAGGTAACGACTATTGACAATACTAATTATTTGTACGGCTCCAAAACCCACATTGATAAAGAAAACGATAGGGTCACTACTAGATCTTGTTGGGAAGCCATTGATGTGACCAACAACATCTGCACCCAAAACCCTTGATGATGGAGAAGAGTTTGAAGAGCTAATCAGTAAAGGTGAGGAAGATAGTTTTTTCTTATGTTATAGAATTGAGTCTTATGTGAGTAAATAGTATATTTTAGATGTTAAATATGTAAATAGATTATTTTGAGTGCTATTGTATGTAAATCCCTCAAATAAGAAATATTCTGCCCCATTAGAAAATCAAGCTTTGTTCTTACAACTCAAATATACTGCAATCCATGTGTTGAATATCTTACTAACCAGATTCTGCCAATTTTTTTTTCTTATTTGCAGGCCATGGCCCATGCCGTATTGCGGCCCTTCCTTGATGAGAAGAAGAAAATCATAAAGGACATAAACAAAAACTTTGGTTTGATTATTTTTCAACATGCCATTTTGACGAAACTTGAGCTTCTGTTCATCATACTTGCTATCTTATGTAATGAGTTTGAGAAGTCTCTAATGTCTGTTTGTCTTCCAATGCTTGGGTTTGAGTATTTGTGTGCATTTCTCATATGTCAACATCCTGTTGGTTAAGTCTCAGTGTCTATTCCCTGATGTAAAGAGAGAGAATAATCAAAGGAATTAAGCCTTTTGTTTAGGCATGAAACAAGGCTTGAAGCATCTTCATGAAAAACTCTCTTTGGGGCTGTTTGGTAGCACACAGGATTTCATTTAAGTAGGATTTCGTAAATTTTCTAAATTTGGATTTACGAAATCCAGGGGGTTAAATCCTGAAACAAGCTGACTAATTTTCTTCCCTCTCGTTCCAATAGAGCATTAAATCCGCTGAATCAGAGGATTTCGGAAATACGGGATTTACCACGAAAAGGAGTAATTTTCCGGATACCGCGGCTTTCATTTACGGTGAGATTTGGTTTTGCATTTTAGGCCGTTTGGCTGGTTTTCGCTCAAATCCGGCCTAAATCCTGCTACCAAAAAACCCATTTAGGCTTCTCACATCATGTGCATTTCTTAAGCACTTTCTTTAAGCTTCAACAATTTATGGCTTCATATGGGACAACTTTCTTAGTGCTTTCTAAAACAGTTTTGTATTATTAAAATTTCTAGTACAATAAATTTTTGTACTATAAAGCTGATTTAGAAAGTAATAATAAAACTGTCCCAAATGAAATTTGTCTCAATTTATGTAAACTTCATGAAATAAAGAGGGACAAAGGAGTATGTTGGATCTCATTTGATCTTATAATTAAGTGGGTTGGACTACATGACCGGATGACCCAATCAACTTATATTGAATCTGGTGATAAATATAATATATAATTTTTTATAGTAGTTGATGTAACATTTTGTTATTAAACTATGTACTAAATGTTGTAAATATGCAAGAATGTTTTATTATTAATTTCAAAAAATAATGCATTTATATATAAATTATATATTTTTTTATTTAATATTAAAATATAAATAAGTCTTAATTTATAAAGTTAGTTTAATTCTTATTCTAATTTATAGCAATCAATAATTACAAATATATTTTGTTATTAGAATTTTTAAAATTATTATATTCTAATTATGTTCAAAATTAAAATATTTTTATTTATATTTTCTATAAATAAATTATATGGTGAATCACATCTTGTAAAATAAACAGAACTACTTTTACCTACCATTTTATAAGACATTTACCTTTTTATTTTAATTATTTTTTACTTAAATTCTTAGACTTAAACTTCATTTGAAATTGTTTTCTTACTGATTTTTAAAACAGTTTTTTAATTCAGAAAATTTTTAAACTAAACTTTTGTACTATAAAATTGCTTTATAAAATAGTAATAACATTGTCTCAAACAAAATCTTAAATTATTAAACATATTATTTGCAGGATTTACTTTATGATAAATTTCAACTTCAAAAATTAAAAAAATAAAATATATAGTTTAAGATTTTAATTTTGGTCATGTTAAATGTGGTCGAATTTAAATATATTTTCAACAACTAAACGTATTTTAATTAATTCTTACTTGAAATTGGTATAAATAATTAACTTGATTTATTCATTAAAATCAAATTATTTTTGGAAATAAAACATGCAAATTTTATATGATTTTTATATAAATTTATTATTTTCTAATTTTAATAAATAAATTATATGCTTATGTTAATATGAAATATTGTGGAAGAAGACGAGTGCCAAATGGGCCCACCATCACTGCAAATCTCCTTGGCATGTTCGCAGCACAAAAATGAAACATTCATGTTGGGAATATGCTACGAGTATATGCGAGGCTGCTAGCATCCAGAATTACAGATATCCCCCTCCCCCTATTGAATGTGGTAGTTCTGTAAATTAACCTTTTTACATGGTTTGAAATAAAATAAGTTTTCTGATAAATTTCTTTTAGCAAGTTCTAATGAATCTAACGTATTTAATTTATAAAAAAAGTTTGCATTTATTTATTTTGAAGCAAATTAATGGAGTCATTAAATTTCAAAATGGCATATGTTTTGATCATTGTTCGTTTATGTTTGATTCGTTAGTTAAATGAGCTCTATTTGAACGGGTTGAAATAAGAAGCAATTAATTCATATATTTGATTTGATATATTTAAGGGGAATTTATATTCCTACTATTTAATATATATATTATTGTGTCCTGAAATATTCGCGGCGGTAGAGAAATATATAGTTTAATGTCTTAGCATTGTACGAAGATCCAGCACACAATCAGATAAGTGAGAGGGTGTAGCATTCATAAGAGACACCCGAGTTTTTACGTGGAAAACCCCTGAAAAAGGGGAAAAACCACGGGAGCTAGCCCATTTGAATGAATCCACTAGTATTTGTAGTCGATTACAAATGAGGCCCTTCCTTGAGAGAAGTCCTTGGATATAATTATAAATTTTTATATTTATTCATACAAACTCTAATCTTTAAATCTCAAAATAAATATTAATTGTATTATTTTTTTTAATTGAAATACTCAATTTTTTTGTTTATATTTTTAATAAGTTATGGGCACTTTTTTTTTTAATTATTTTTTTTTTATGTTATGGGTACTTAGATATTTATAAGTATGCCCTAAAACCAAATAGATAATTTTATGTCAATGTTGACAAAAATCAAATGAGCTTGAGTGATGAGTTCAAATGACTCCCACTTTTTAACAACAAGAATAAAAAAAAATTCCCCTACTAATATTTTCTTATTATCATTCAAATTTCACCAAACAACTTAAATAACATCTAATGAATTATGTGAGTTTTACTTAAATTTAAAAATTCAATTATGTCTAATAATTAGACTATGTTTTAATTATTATCATCAAACATATAAATAATAATGCTTGATTAAATTTTGATTTTTTGCTCGAATTCCATAAGAAAATTAACAAAAAGAAAATTGAATAAGAATTTAAAACTTGATTTTTTATCAGTTTAATACATATCTTTAATAAAAATTATATCAATATATCTTGATGCAAAATGTATGATGATGATTTTAAAATTCTTGTACCATATATTTAAAAATTAGAATATTTTTTTAAAGAAAATTAGGATATAGATAAATATTCTAATTATTTGAAAATGTGATAGAATTTTAAAATTATTTACAATACTTTTGTTTATTATATTCTGATAATTTACTCTGCGGAGAGGATGTCATATGAAAACTTGTAAGGGCATACATGCAAAAACCAGTCCCAGTTGTTCGGAAAATCAACCAAGCGAAAGGAGCCAGCAGCCAGCATTGATAGAGGAAGAATCCCGAGCCCTCCTTCCTCGTCGCAAGATTGAATTTTCACAGCCAGGGAGAAATGGCCACCAAATGTATGCATCAAACCTCTTCTCTGCATTCGCTATCGATTTTCTCATTTTCGAAAGAACACGTTTGATCAATCAATTTCATTGTTTGCGTTTCTTTTATTGCTAAATTCAATGGCGTCGTTTTTTGTTCTAGATTCGCTTGCTGAGTTCCTTGATGTCGCCGTGGATGCCGCCAAGAAAGCTGGGGAGGTAATAAGAGCCCAGGCCCTAGCTTTCGCTTATAAATTTTTTGACGCTGATTTCTCCATCTTCCTTTAATTTAAACGAATTTTGGAATAAAAAGTTTTCATTTGTTTATCTATATTGGGGATTTCTCAGGTCATTCGGAGAGGATTTTATCAGACCAAGCATGTGGAGCACAAAGGACTGGTTGGTTTCTATTCCTCTTTACCCTTTCCCGATATTTTTGCCACTTATAGTGTTAAAAAGCATATTTTACTCGTACCAATTCTTTTAGTCTAGCTAAATGCATAGAAAGCAAGATATTGATATTATAGGATTTGTTAAGTCAATCCATAATCGCCTCTTTGTTTGCAATTGATGTTTGCCCACATGTTCCTTGATCTTCTAATGCTTCAAACTTTGAAATGGCGTTGTTCATGGAGAAACTGATGAAAACGCAGGTAGATTTAGTGACAGAAACTGATAAAGAATGTGAAGAACTTATTTTCAATCACCTCAAGAAGCATTTCCCTAGTCACAAGGTGAATATTTGCCTAGTGTTTTTATTATATGTGTTGTGATATCTAAAAGCTTCCCTGGACTTGTTCAGGGAGTGTTTTCTTTATCTTGATATTGATCTTTTTTGTAGTTTATAGGCGAAGAGACATCTGCTGCATTGGGTACTTCTGAGTTAACTGATGATCCGACATGGATTGTTGATCCCCTTGATGGAACCACAAATTTTGTTCATGGGTATCACCTTTGAAAAGATATATGCTCTTCATCTTGCGTGTGCCTCTTGGGAATGCATGATCACCAAATGTTTTGCAGGTTCCCTTTTGTTTGTGTTTCTATTGGTCTTACCATTGAGAAGGTTCCTACTGTGGGAGTTGTATACAATCCAATAATTGATGAGGTGAATTTGAGACCCTTTCTTATTTTAATTATATTTTGCACTCTGTGAAATTTATTAGTAATTTTATTGATTTATCATATACTTAATGAGCCAGTGATGTTTTAGCTTCTCCATTCTTTTTTTTTTTTTTTCAAATCTCACAATTTCTAGCACGTTATCATCATCATCATCTTCATCTTCGTTAGCCCTACCCCAATTATTTGGGTTCAGCCTTGTGAATTTGTTTTTCTTCTATTTATCCTTCTTGTCTGTCCATCTTGTCCCCTCTATTGTATATGCACAAACCATCTAGTCTATTTTTGATTGCCTTAAATTCATTTGCTGTTACTTCATTGTCTCCCTAATATAATCAGTTCACACGCTATCTTTATAAGTTTATCATATATTTATCTTAACATTCTCATTATGCTACATTGCTCTTAGTTATTGGTGTCTTTTTTATTTCCTTGCATTAAGCCATATTACAGTGCTACCCTCTGGTAGTTGCATAAAACCTGCCTTTAACTCTCCAAGGCACTTCCCTATTTGCACCATTTGCTGCTCTTTCATTGTAAACTCCAATATTCCTGAAGATCCGCCATTAATATGTAATAATATGAAGAATCAAGATGGAAACATTTCCACTGCTAATTAAAAACGTGATTAATCTGCTACATGGGTTCAAATGTTATCCTACTTTTTCAAAAATCAAAACTTTACTTATACTAATTTGAGAACTTTGAACTTTACTTTGACTATCAATCATCTAGAAGACTTCTGATTGATCTTCCATTTTCTTTTTGATGTATAGCTCTTTACTGGTGTTCGTGGACAAGGTGCTTTCCTCAATGGGAACCCCATAAAAGGTACTGATACTTTTAAATATTTTTTTTTAATGGAATAATTATCTTTGTTTTTAAATTAGTTAGTTGCGGTTCCAATTGAATACTTCAACTATTTTAACATTTGCAGCAGCATCTCAAGCTGAATTATTGAAGTCCCTTCTTGCAACTGAGGTAGTTTGATAATCTTTGTGATTTGTATAACTATTACAATCACGCGGAAGAAATATTTTGCATTTCTTTATCGCAATAGTTAAATCTTATTCATTTATTTTTCTTTAAAAACCAAATTATTTTTGTTGGAATTTAGTTTTAAAAGCTAGGTTTTTTATTTTTTACTCTGCCTATCTAGAGAAAACTAGAGGTGTGTTTCTCTAGTGTGTTATGTAGGTCTTAATTTTGAATAGCAGAAAAAACCTTTCTACAAATGCCAGGTTTTACATCAACGCCTCCTAGATTCTGCACTAGCAGGACCTCCATGCACTCAATATGCCCTGTTATTTCTAGTGAAAAATAAAAAAGTTGAAAAAAAAAAGAGTAATGGCTTGTTCTTGTTTAGCACTTGTTCTTTCGTAAACAACATCCCAATTTAGAAGATGCAAAAGAAAAATTCCATGCTAGATTGGTTTCATGTTGTAAAAATCTTACATTTGATAGTATAGGGTTTTCAGGTATCCCTTAGTTTCTATATGATATGGTTTCATGTTGCATTAATCTTATATTTCATAGTATCACTTGTTCTTGCTAATTTGGACTGTTGGGTTCAGCTTTTGAGAGTTGAAATTAAATCAAAACAAACCCTTCACACTACTTTCCATAGAAAAGTTGAGTAGCTGGTGAGTGAAGTGAACGGATTTTAGTCATACCAAGTTTAAGAGAAAACTTCGGAGGTGTAAGAGCGTTTGGCCATGGGCTTATGGTGAAAATAATGAATAAAGAAAAAATAGATTATAGTATGATGTTGATAAGAATTGGAGCAGAATATAAGTGATGGGGAATGTGAGTGTGGAAGAAAAGAACATATAAAGAAAAGAGAGGCCTTGGTAAAGAGAAAACAAGAGGCATAAAGAAGTTGAATATGTTCTTCATTGATGTCTAGGTGATATCAAGGGAGATCTCAAGGTCACGTTGATGATGCTATTAGAAACATCAAGTAGGAGATGATGAAACCCTCATCAACGGATCAGGTCATTTGGCTACTTGCAGCAGCCTATATGCTTTGGTGTTTCACTTATCAGGAACGTCTATAATCCAATTGAATTGCATTGCAACCTCGTCAGCTTTAATAAAAATGCTCAGCATCATTGTCATCAGTAATAAGATGACAACCTCCTTTGCTTTTGGGATTGATGTCCTTTAAAATGCAGGAAATCATTTCAAAGGAAAATATACTATAACGTTAGAATCTATACTTGCTTTCAATGATATGGCGATGATTGCACCTGAATGTAAAACTTCACACAGATATTCAGCAAGTAGAAAAATGGTGTGGGCTCCAAAAATTCGCGCCCCGGCCTCCCCTCGTTTTCGGGGGAGTTTTAACGAAATTAGGTTCCGAGGTAAATTTTCATAAGGAAGATTGGGTTTGTAGATAAGACACTACCCCGAGACTTCGTCCTTATTTTGTGAGAACTTTATGATCTGAGTTATGGTTTCCTATAAGTGCAAGCCCCTATAGTTAATTACCCCTCCCGATAATGAGAGAGAACTATCTATTAAGGCTAGTCGTCAAATGAATACATCGTATCCGTAGATACATGATATCCGACATATAGTAGCAGCATTGGTTTTGGTATTTGAAAATTTGATATTTAAAATTAGAAATTTCACGTCTGTGGTTCGGGAAGGATTATTATTGTTGTTTAGACGCCCCTAACCACGTACAACGAGCGACTACATGAATTCGTAGCCAATACACATTGATTAGATGTCGAAACCAAAGTCATTAGTCGAATATCTTGCCTTTTCACAAAAAAGGACTAAAGAACCAATGCTAGGCGTTGAACTAGAAGAATCACACCCACCTACTAGAATGAAATTTCCAATTAGGTCTGAGATATCGACTCTGCCACCACACGCAGAACCAGCATTTCACCAATTTGTTGTTGACGACTTGTTTGTCGGCAACCACAATTGTGTCATTAATTGCAAAGAGTGAGGACTTCTTGGTCTCTTACGAAATCGAGATAAAATTATCGCTGATCCTTTCACTATCAATATTGAACCGCGCAGGTTTCACTTGGCCTGTGCCGAGACTTTGTACCAATTCCTTCAGAACGCACTTCGAAAGAAGAGCACACTTAATGATATTGAGACCAATGTGCACACTAACGCAATGGCTCACCTACTTGCAGATGGATGCACTATTATGGCATATCTTAAGGTACGTAATATTGTTATCTTTAAATTTCAGGATGATTATGACAAAAGTAATCTCAAAAGGCCTAGGGTAATGCATGACCATGTCATTTCACTGCCCTTCACCTACGCAATACAACAACTCAGAGTAGTGAATGTAATTGATCTCGAACAAGAGATTAAGTTTGCACCCTCTCTTTCCGAAGACCAGACAACATAGGTTTTATACGACTAGGTGGTTAGCTGGCTTTTCTTTTCAGACAAGATATAAGTCTAGGATGCATAGCTAGGACACGGCTGTTAGTATTGTGTGTAGAATACTAAACCCAATCTAGATTTAGGGTTCAAGGCTACTACTATCGATGTCTCGTAGTATGCCTCATCGGCGGGTAATCCTCTATCCTTTAGATGATATAAATCTCACTTATCTGCGCCACATGGATGACGCCACCTCCATCTTTCTCTCTTGTATGCTCAGAGTGCAGTATTGTCTTTTCTCCTGTTTCTTTTCACTACATTGGTCCTTCCGGATGATGATATGAATCATGCATGTTGAATGAGCCAAATTGAGCATTTCTTTCCCTTTGAATAGGAAATACCTAGACCCCACCCTATGTGCCAATCCCATTTGAGATAATAATGTACAGTCCTTAATCGAGAGTCTTCTTAGGCCCCTGCTTAAGATATAATTAACCACGGGGGATTGCGCCCGTGGGAAACGGAATCACACATCAAATAAATCTCACTCGAGCTGATGTATTGAGTGGGAGAAATTTCGTGACTTTGATCAGGTCGTACATATTATTACTCATCGAGGTGCATAGGCGAAAACCAATATCCTCAATGGTTAATCGTATGTATGATCTCATCTGCCCTCCCATTGACCGGCTTGCAAAGAGTGCAAAGGTCTGCGACTGTTTTGTCCTACGGGATAGTGAGATCGTACCATTTGCATTCTTCTCCCGTCAAGCAGGTGTTCTTTCGGAGTATCACAGGTTTCTAGCGACCACGGTGGGTTTGGCTTGGGAGAGGTGGAAGGAGACAAAGGGAACTCACACACGAGAGGTCTCGGGCTTGAGGAGGCTTGGGGAGGGAAATATTGCAAGATCTTTTATAATGAAACCCTAGACCTCTATTTATAGCCCTACTTCTATGATGGACGGCCAAGATCACTCCTATGGTTAATTAGGAGGTAATCAAGCCTCCTTGGCCATGGTTTGGGCCAAGGGGAGATTAAGAAGGGTTTTAAATGCAAGGTGGGGGGGGGATTTTGACTTAAATAGGTCAAGTTTGACCAAGCCATGTGTTGACCTAGTCAACATGGTCAATCAAACCCAAATGGGTAAGGGATTGGGCAAGAGAGGCCTTGGAATTGATTTAAATCAAAAGAGAGGTGATTTGGGCTAGTTTGGTCAACCCAAGTTGACTCAAAATCTGGGTCTGGGCTCAACAGACTTGGTTTGACCCACTGAACCCAATGGAGGTGGTCTTAGGATCTGATTTGGTCAATTTGACCAAGTCAACCCCCTTGACCCAAGGGTTTAGTGAAAATCAAGGTCAACAACTAGCAAGTGTCATGTGCTATCACAATTAAAAATTAAACAAGCAGTAATGAGCCTTTCACCAGGGAATATGTGGTTGTCTTGAGGTCTGGCCTTGTCAAAAGAATTATCTACTCTATGTTTAGTTTGTTTTGGTACGTGATCATCACTACCAGGCCTTTAACAAAATGCTTGATTCTGCTCATAAAAGTTCACTTGTGCTCATTTCTGCAAAGCTGATCCGCCTAACCAGTATATAGTCAAATTCAGAATACTTATGAAGAAACCAATATTATCGTTTTATGTGGATTAAGATTTCTTATGGACATTGATTAATCTCTTATTATTTGATTGAGAGTTGCAGAAAATCACGCTTGGTAAATATTGACCAATAATGCTTACCATTTGAGCAGGTTGGAACAACACGTGACAAGTCCACTGTTGATGCTACAACAAACAGAATCAACAGCCTACTCTTTAAGGTTTTTACACTCAGAAACATTTGCTTGAGAAGGTAATTTGAGTTTCAGAAGTGGTATTTCATATATTGGCATTACCAGGTCAGATCCTTAAGGATGGATGGTTCCTGTGCGTTGAACCTTTGTGGTGTTGCATGTGGTAGGCTTGACATCTTCTATGAACTTGGGTTTGGTGGTCCTTGGTATGTTGCAAAGCTCTATATTTTATTTGGTTTCAAATTTTAAAACTCATATGTTACGTGCATATGAGGCAAGCAATGATTGGATAATGTTGGGCAACAGATGTCAACATGGTCCCAACTATCCATCATTAGCCGACTGGCAGCCTCAAATGCTCCCCTTACAAGCAGAAAATTATTACGTGCGGCGTCCGGATTCGTTCGGAGGCGAATCCGGACGTGCCACATCACCCGGGGCCCGGTGCATCTGGGTGACATGGTACATCCTGATTTGCCTCTGGACAGTCCGGACACCACATGTAATAATCTCTCCTTCCAAGCACAAGAAACAATGATCATTAAGATTTTACTTTTATCAGGTAGACTTAAAAAGACTTGGTTATAAAATATTAGAAATAATCTTTTTTTATTTGATTTAAATGAGAATTTGACTTTTAACAGAACACTAGCAAAAAAAGATTCATGTAGCTGACCTCACGTAGTGGGACAAAAATTTGATGTTGTTGTTGTTGTTGTAGGGATGTCGCCGGTGGGGCTATCATTCTTCAAGAAGCAGGAGGACTTATTTTTGACCCGTAAGTCTAATCATGTATGACTCATGAATCCCCTAAACTATTCAAGAATCAAATCTCTTATCATTTTCATTTTGGGCCATTTGGCAAATAGGTATGGAGGGGATTTTGATATCATGTCAAGGAGAGTAGCTGCATCAAATGGCCATCTTAAGGATCTATTTCTTGTTGCTTTGAAGGAAGCAGAAGGAAATCACCCTTCATAATTGCAAAATGCAACAGTTGGAATCTTCCAGTCTGAAACAGCCCAACTTCTCTGGCATTTAATAGCAAATACTCCTATTGTTCCTCTAAACTATCCTTCTTTTATTCAACCCATCCGAATTTTGCCTTTCATCAACTCCACGTTTTCAGGCTATATTATTAGCTGCCTAAATTCCTTAATTCTGTCATAGACTTGTTAGTGGATTTTGATGATGACAAGTATATACAAGCATATATTTTTATATACTGGAATTTTGCATTCACTTATTTTATATAGTGAAATTTTCTGTGATTTTTTTTAGCCATCTTGTGGTTTATGAGTGCTGGGCAATATTTAACAAAAGTTGAAAGCTAAGGTTTCGTTTGGGGCGGTTTTCTTATTGTTTCTTAAAGCAACTTCTTAGTACAAGAAGCTGCTTTAAGAAGCATAAAAAAAACCGTCCCAAACGAAGTCTAAATTTGTTTATGTTTTTCTACTGATGCGACATTTTCTGAAGTACTGGAAAGATCAAGATCTGCTGCAATACTTGGCTTGCAAAGTCTAAAGAGGCCATAGCGGTTAAATATAGCAGATTTTAAAACCACACTTTGCATTCAGGCTCTCTTTTTTAGAAGAAATTATTACATAAGTCCAACTGCCGGATGCGTCCAAATTTCAATCAAAACAAGCTATATCAATCTGTACACATACTGTGTGCAAATGGAACTTTTATTTGGTCAGGTGACCTGACGTAGCTTTATGTTTGGACGCCAGTAAAATAATACCACGTATTCTTACTTTTTACCACGTGGCCCGACAAACCGACCCGAAACGGCTTCGGGATTGCTATGTTCGCGTATTGCTCGATATTGCTAGGTATTGGTCGATTTTGCTTGGCAATAACGAGAAATATCATTCTGTGAAGACCAATACCTAGCAATACCGAGCTCGGTATTGCTAGGCATTGGCCTTGACAGAGCGATATTTCTCGGTATTGCCAAGCAATACCTAGCAATACCGAGTAATATGCAAACATAGTAATCCCGGGCTCCAATCCGAGTCGGGTCATCGGGCCGCGCGGTAAATAGTAAGAGCACGTGGCGACATATTATTGGCATCAGAACATAGAGCTACGTCAGGTCACCTGACCTAATAATTGTTCGCACAAATTACATGATCAATTTTGATTGAAGTCCTGACGTCTAAACTCCGTACTTTATAATCTCTTTTTTAAGGGCAATTTAATTCAATACAAAATAATTTGCAATGCAAAATGAGTTCCATCAATCTTATTGTATTTAATTTGTAATAAATTAATAAATACTTTAAAATATGAAAAAAAAAAAAAAACAAAAAAAAAACAAACAAACAAACATACTTCAAACGCTACTCTTTAAAAAAATTAGAACCAACCTATTTTCTGTTTTTATCAACATTCTAACTCAAAGCGGAACAAGATTGAGAACTCCAAAAACATGTAAAATCCACTTCATGGCGATTAAAGTCCTTAAACATTTAACAAACAAATCTGTATCACCAAAAAACCAACTAAAACTTCTGAAGCCCGCCCTTTATTACAAGAAAAGTTCTGCTAACAATTTTTCATTCTTCTGTTATAGATTTTTACAACAAACAGGAATCTCATTTTCAAAAGGTATCAATATAATTTGAGACCCCATCCATATCAGTTCCAGATCATTTTAAACAGTCAAAAATATGAATTTTCGACCAAGTAATCCTTGCACATTACCAGTGTAAATAACAAACAGATGCAGATTATTGATAAATTACTGCAACTCTCAGGCCAGAAAAACAGTAAAGATAAAGAAACAATAAATTTATTCCCTCACAACCATTAGGAAACAAATAGATGTGAAGGTGCTCTTTGGAAGCCGTTGCATAGCAACACAGTCAAGATTTATATCAGGATTTCAGCCTGTTAGGTTGTTCTAAATCATTCACAAATAAGAAATGTTCTGATAAATTTTGTGATGGTGGCTATGAGTTATGCACGCTTTTTAAAGTGATCAACTAACAGTGGGCGATGGCGATGGCCTCTTCTCGGTTGTGTAAGGATAGTATTCTTTGCCTACATCAACTCTTGTAGTTCGACCACCTATGTCGAGGATGGCAGAAGTCACAGCCAGAGCAGAACCTGCAGTGAGCGCAGATGGAATGGTTTTCCCTGCAGTGTATATAGCAACCAAGTTACAGTTAAAGATAACCTATAAATGGTTTATTTCAAATGCAGGTTATATTTTACATGACTAAAAATATGCAGGTTACTCCCGCATATACATTAATGAGCCACTAAAAATATGCAAGTTCAAAATTTCTGTGCTGCATGAAATGAACAAAAGACTCAGCTACCTTGTCCAATACTTGTTTACAGCCTCAAAAAAATGGAGAAATTATTATGTGCGATCACTGGATGGCGTCTGAAAGCGAATAAGGACGTGTCACGTCACTTTTTTGTTGTGTATCGGTGCTGAGTACTGATGTGCATCGGATGACGTGGCGCATCCTGATTTGCCTCTAGACGGTCCGATGACCGCACAGAATAATTTCTCCGAAAAACGGGATTACACTAGTCATTTTCATCTCATGCATTTTTTTATGATCTGAGCATGAAGAAGTCATGTGTCTAAAAAAATACAGAATTTTACAGTTTGTCAAAGCCCACATAAATCTTCATTTTTTTTCCCATAAATTTGATAAACAATCAACCATGATGTACGCACATTACACACCACATCCTAAATTTATCTTGATTTGAATGAGTCTAAACAACGAAAATAAACTTGCTTTTGAAGTATAATATGCAAACATTAATATTCGAACTTTTCATGCAATCCATTGCATATCAAGAAACCTGCTGATATATCTAATGCATGGCTACAATATCTGAAAGAAGAATCATGATATCAAGTACATAATTGTTGCAAAACTTATTATGAAGACGATAAATGGACTTAATGAGACATTTGAAAATAATAGTTGTTGAAATCTATACTGCTACTAGAAACAGATTTAAAACTTTGACATGCAAAGGTTTAACCCATTAATTCTGAAACCTTTATTATTAAATAAATAAAATTTAAAGGAAATAAATAATCTTACACAGCTTTTTACTCATTTTACTGGTGGACTTCTATAGAAAGAAACTTTCTGATTCATTTAATTATTAGTAGCTAAATGGATTTATTTTTTATCCGCTATCATTTTTTTTTGTCCAACTATTCTATAAAAACACATAATAAAATACTTTAACAATATATAACACCTAATTTCAAAATTTTCTAACATCGGTTAATATTCAACATTTGATTATTATTTTAGATAGGTTTAGATGCATATGAGCCATAATATTATTTACTTCGTGTTTTATATTTTTTTACTTTCTTCATTAGTTATGCCTACATGCGACTAAATTTTATGGTATATCCAATTCTTTTTTCTCTATTCTAGTTAGTGGATGGGTCCTTATGAAAATTTTAGATTGTAATGTCAAATAAAATAGGTGTTTACTAAAAGTTAATAATTTTTAATATAAAATAAAATGGCCATAAGGTTAGGGAACTCTATAAATGTTTCAAAAAATATATAATAAACTTCAAGAAATATGCAAATAGAGCACATCATTATTACAAGAGAATGATGATCCCCTTAAAAAAATCCGTAGACGCACATGATATATATGTGTGGAGGTGGTAGAGGCTTCTTGACTCAAAAATAAATATAGAAAAAGAGAAATTAGTTTTAATGTAAAACTACTAAAATAGAATTAAGAGGTTGATACTAAATATAGCCAATAATTATATCCAGGTATTATAACTCATCACTTTTACTAGATTTGCGTGATAATCAATATCCAAGGTCTTGTCTTGCAATGCTTGTCGGGAGCTTTGCCTTTATAAAAACACGACAAATTACAATTTTTATTTATGCATAAACGTGAGATTGAAAGCATGATACTATATGTGCACCTCCTCCATGGATTTACAATCACGAGCAGCACCTTTGTAGAACAGCATGTTTATCTCTATCAGAATAGTAATGACTTTTTCATACCAGATATAACAAAACAACTCAACTTTGCCAAATGAGGCCTAAGATTGTTCATGGACAAGCTATTTGTAGCTTATATTAATATCTGTATGCACGGGCCGAAAGCTAATCCTAAATCTTATCATAACGGATAAGCATTCATTATAAAGACAACTTGAACACTATAATACTTCATGTGTTGTGACATACAAATATCAATGATGTAAGTGCTGATGCAGTAAAAAGGATGATGAGATCCCAAGATACCATAGCAAAACAGATGATGAGATTCCAACAACAACAACAACAACATCAAGTCTTTATCCCACTATGTGAGTCGGCTAAATGAATCTTTTTTCTCCGTTGTGTCCTATTAAGAGTCAAATTCTCAATTAAATCTAATAAGAAAAGACTTTCAAAGTGTAAACTAATTTCTCTTTTTCTAAACAAAGTCTTTTTAAGTATACATCTACCTTTCTTCACATAGGCCAAAGCTAATACATCTACTCTCCTAACCGGATCATCGGAAGGCCGATGTTTTATGTGTCCATACTTAATAAATTTCTTTTGAATCCGAAATTGTAACCTATATTTTTCCTACGTTAAGCTTCATGCTTTGATAGGCATTAAAGATAGTGAGTTTAACGGAAACATCTCTTAACAACAATAGCACAAAGTAACAAGTAAAACACTTAGAAAACTAGAGAATATAGCACTTTTAAATGCTGAGACAGTAGTGGCATAGTGCAGCTATAGCGCAAATGAGAGGAAAAAGGAATATTCAAAATTCCATCAGTGTTGCCTATAATTTCATTGGTTAAATTCAAACTATGCACTTGGAACCTAATAGACTGTTCAAAATACTAAAGAACACGTCTTATTTGTATAGAAGCTAACATCATAGACAGGTTTTAACCCTTTAAATGAAATAGGAAAAAAAAAACTAGAAGTAAATACGCATTTTCACTGAACACAGTTCCAAATTTGCATCATTATGTTCGATTTGGAAATTTTTAGCTCCAACCAAATTAATTATTTGATATCTGTCATGTACATATGGCCAATTGTTGTGCACCTGTAAATTAATTCATGAAGAAGCATTTCACCCAATGGCACAAGAAACCAATGATTCCCATCTCAACGTTAGACATAATTCTTAGTTCTTACATATAAGTTAGCTTCTGGAACAAGATAAGTACATTCATTCATTAAGGTATTGGAAGTGATTTCTCAGTAAGGTGGTGGAAAGAGAAGAATCTAAGGTAGTGGCTAGCATGTTCATAAAATAAAGTCAAACCATATACATTGAAGTTTGGAATACAACAAAAACTAGTCATAACTTACAATTCATAAATGTTAGCCCCAATATGTCGCAAAATTCTATATGACATGCAATTATTTTTTGAAGGCTCATATTAAAAACCTTCATGAACTTACGCTATCATCTTGATTCCTTATTTGAATTTCACATGTCTTATTTACATTAGCAGAATTATTATTGTCGAGATTAATTTTTAGTGTCTTGAAAATCGCTTCATTCAAAACGGATAATTTATGTAAATATAAATAATGAGAAGCAAGTTATCATCATCATCATCATCATCATATGCCAATAAGTATCCTGAGGATACTAATTGTTGCGGGCTAGAAAATTCGTGGCAATAGAGTGAAAGAGTTTTACATCATAACTTTGCACGAAGATCCAAAACACAAATATACAAATGAAAAAGCATGGATAACATTAGAGTTTTTAAGTTGAAAAACTTAGAAAAGGAAAAAAAACCTTTGAACTTAAAAACTCTAAGAAAAACCTGCCCAACTGAAATGATCCCACCATATGAGTGTTGATTATAATGGTTTGATTGTCCCTTAGCTTCAAGACGGCAAGTTTATAAGAGTTTGGAGAATATGACATATTCAATACGCGCTAAAAGGCATTCAGAAAATTGTGGCTAAGTGATACTGGTATGCAGTGTTAGTTGATTGTCGGCAATTCTATGATGGCGACCGGGCGAAGAAGATCGGTCTAACGGCGGCAATCGGGCAGCCAATGTCCGATGGCGACAGTCAGATGGCCAAGGTCTAACGACGGTGATCAGACAATAAAAGTCCAACAGTGGCGTCGTATAGCAAAAGATTTGACAATAGTGGTCAACTGGCAAAGGTCCAACGACGGCATAGGCCAACAAGAGTTTGACGGCGATGGTGCTCAGGTGGACCTCCGAAATTCTTCAAGCCTTGAGCTCTCTTGAATCTCTAGCAAATGGGCCTATTTATAGACATTTTAGAATGGAATGCCCTGTAAATATGGAGAAAATTCGAAATACTCTATTTAACAACTCACATTAATTCTCTTAATCATAAATAATTCGTTCAGCATCTAAGTGTCTTAACTTTGTCAAAATTGAGCGACTGTGAATTCATTGGATTCGTCTCATCAAGACGCACAATTTGACTATAAGTATGTCAAAGTTGGAATTCATTTAGTCCTCCAATTAATATTCCAAAATTTTCAACTATGCTTCAAACTCTTGATCTAAGCTTATTTGAATTCGGATCACTTTTGATTTTGTTAAGTTCGCCTCATCGAGAAAATCAATCTGACTATAATTTTGTTGAAATCAAAGTTTAGATGGTCATGGATTTAATTCTAGAAGCTTCCAATTCATATGTACATCTAGAATTGTGCTCAATCAAGTTGATTTTTGACAATGTATCACTAATAATGATTTAAATCGAATAAAAAAATTAGAATATACGCAATCCGTAGATATGAAATAACTATATGGATGAATCACCTCTTTAAAGAAAGCTAGTTCAAATGCTTTAATTATTAGTGATTTATCGCTCATCATCTCAAAAAAGAATTAATTAAGTGGAGAAGATTTACAAACTTTCAAAACTGTCCCAATATATAGGATCTAAAAGCTCAACCATATCTTGAAACACTTCTTGTTAACAAATTCACTAAAACGTTTCATTTCTACATAAATTGCTCTGAATAAGTTTTAAATTAAAGAATAAGAAATCAAACACCCAAGATAATCATTTTGACTTGTAGATATAACTCTTGTGTATTAAGTGTATGTTTCAGTACTTAATATTCATCGATAATATGACCAAATCTATATCACTATA